ATAGAGCACCGGACCTGGAGTCAGGAAGCCTCATCTTCCTGAGTTCAAATCAGGCTTCAGAAACTTACTATCTGTGTGACCCTGTGCTTGTCACTTAAGCCTGTTGGCCTCAGTTTCCTCATCTGTAAAATGAGCTGGAGAAGGAAATGGCAAACCACTCTAGTATCTTTGTCTAGAAATCTCCAAATGGGGTCAGAGAAGAGGCAGACATCTAGTCAGATATCATCCACCTGGTGTCAATGGTGCAACAAGTACCCATAGAAGGCAGAAAATCCGCACCTTGCAAGGAGACAACTATCAATGACACAACTTATTCCTGGGGCAGTGTGAACCCAGGACAGATAATACCTGGACATACCCATACCAGTTAGGAGAAAGTGTCATGTTTCCTACTCAACAATGTAAAGAGTTGAACTTAAATTTTAAAAATACATACACTATGGATTCTGAGGATAGTTTATCTTTCTAAAATGACTGTATCCGCTGTCCACCAGCCTGTCAATATATTGGTTCCGTATAAAACACATTAAGCCATTTCTGCTGTTAAGATTCAAATTACTAATGGTAAATTATTTGGGAAAAAATAATCCTACATCATCCATTCATTGCTGCAGGTAGATAACTTCTGTGGGGACTAGTTGAGTGAAAAGTAAATTCTTAGATTTAGAGTTGAAAGGGACCGGAGAGATGATCTAGTCCAACCGTTTCATTTTATAACTGTGGAGACTGAGGCTCAGAAAGATTGAATGACTTCTTCAAAGTCACACAGCTGGTAAGCAGCTGAGCTGGAATTTGGACGTGGGTTCTTTTATTTCAAATACAGTAGTAACCTTTCCACTCTGGTCCTAGATACCAGTCACAAACTCAGCTTTGAATCAAGATGGCTCTGACCTCCCAAGTCCCTAGCAGGAGGTCCCAAGACATGCTAGGTACTTGACACCAAGTGGAAAGAACTGAATTTAGTACAGCTAAAGTGATCAGTAAGAATTAAACTTTCAATTGCTAAAGGTGGTATTGAGGGCAAAAGTGGACAGCTAAATCAGAGTTGAAACACTAAGGAGAATCACTGTAGACAGGTATGGTCTTGACCTACATTTGTAGAGGGTTGTGTGCGTGTGTTTGAGTGAGTGACTTTAGGGGAGAAGGAAACAGTGGCAGCTTTTTAAACTGGGTTTGGAAAGGAGGGCAGAACGGAAGGTGCAAAGCAGAATGTATGCTCAGAAAAGAAGGTGCTAAGGAAGTTATCAGCAGATTCAAATTTCATATAATACTAGTGTTCAACATTTCTCAGGTACTGTTTACAGACCTGCTGTTAACTGTTCCTGAGGCCATGTGTCCACAACTGCTTTGATCCATCTGGGTCTCTTGCCTTCCTTGCCAGCATATTGGTAGAACCACCGGTAGAAGGCAAACAGTTTACAAAGAAAACAGGAATAGAAATAGTTTCAGATCATGCATCATGGTCTGAGTGGGACTGGATTTGTTCCTTATCGCCTTTTCTATAGAAAGGAACTACAGGTAAAGGGGGTTTTCCTTCATTAACCAGAATGACAGAAAACTTGGTTATCGTGTATGCAACTTTGGCCCAGAATGGAAGGGGAAAGATTATTTATAGAACTACAGAATCTCACAATGGAAAGGAAACTTTAGAGATCATTTAGTTCAGGGATTCTTAACCCCGTGTGTGTGTGTGTGTGTGTGTGTGTGTGTGCGCGCGCGCAATGGAGCCCTTTGGCAGTCTAGTGAAGTCTATGGATCGCTTCTCAAATTAATGTTTTTAAATGCATGAAATACATAGAATTACAAAGAAACTGATTATATTGAAATGAAGATGTAATTTTTTTCCCTATCCCAAGTCTATTGACTTCCTGAAATATATCTATGGATTCTTATCTGAGGGCAGGGGGAGTCTGTGGGCCCCAGGTTAAGAATCTCTGATCTAATTCAATCCCCTCATTTTGTGGATGAGAAAACTAATGGCTCAGAGAGAGACTTGCCCAAACAGAGTGTTAGCAGAAAAGTCAGAATCAGAATTTAACTTTCCTGACTTCCAGGCCGGGGTTTTTTTCTGTTCTATTCCATAGCTTCAATTAAACTCAAAGGGTTCCATCGAACACCTAACCCTGTGGGCCAGGTATGGTCCAGTTCTATTTTAAGAGAAGATAACCTGTCATATATTTTAAGAAAAATGATTCTGTTGTCTTTATTTCTTTTTTGCAGATCTCAAAGTAGCTTTTCCTTAGGCTTTCTTCCTTATGGCTAACTTTGGTTTCTTCTTTCAGCTGTCTGAAGGCATTGTGGTACAGTGTGAGGAATATACCAAATTTGGGAGTCACAGGCCCCGAGTTTGAATCCTCATCACTAACCCATCTTAGCCACTGCCTACCTTTGCCACCCGTCCTCAGGCTTCTCATTTATAAAGAGGGTTGGACTGGATAGATAGCCTCCAAGGACCTCTCCAGGTTCTAGGAAAGAAGTGCTTTCAAATCCCACCTCTGATATTTACTAGTGATGTGACCCTAGGCACATCACGTAACATGAGCATTGGTGTTCTGGTAAAATAAGAATACCGATTTTTGCAGTTTTGACATCACAGAGGTGTCGGATCAGATGGATTTAATGAATAAAAAAGCATCATTAAGCACTTGCTATGTGTTGAGCACTATGCTAAATGTTTTTTTTTTCTGGTGAGGCAATCAGGGTTAAGTGACTTGCCCAGGGTCACACAGCCAATAAGTGTCAAGTGTCTGAGGCTAGATTTGAACTCAGGTCCTCCTGACTCTAAGGCCAGAGCTCTATTCACTGTACCACCTAGCTGCCTCATCTATGCTAAATGTTGAGGAAACAGAAAAGTGAGATAGCATCTCTTCTCAGGCTCACGGGTTCTAACTGGGGGAGGCCCAGGATTCCTGAGAGAGCTCCTGCACTGGTAAGGAAAGAGAGAGGTCTGGTAGAAGTAGATGGCGGGGCACATGGCAAGGCCTGGTGGTCCTTCTTCTTACTGAAAGGATTGTAGTTGGTGACCCCCTGCTCAACCAAGACATGTGAAAAGCCACGTCCACCCCTTGGGGGCAGGAATGGGTTGGAGGGGCCTGACTTATGACTTCCTTTATGTGTGTAAAGCATTTCATAATCCTTAAGACACTATAATAGATTTCAGGAATTATTAAGGTGCCCATTTCCTCTGACTGTTCATTACACCTGAGGTAACTGTACCCCATTACACACAAAGATTGGATCTGAAAGGCAGTAGGTGACAAGAACGCAGGATCAGCACTTGCCCAGATAAACTGATGTCCACTTCCTCTTACTGTCCCGTTCTCATCTTGCTTGTAGTTAAACCCAGAAGTGAAACTGGCAAGAGAGCAAAATGTGAAGTGGCCTGACCCTTGACTTTCATTCCTTCCCATCTGGCACCTCCTGTTAGGGACTTGGGAGGTCAGAACCATCTGACCCAAAGCAGAGTTTGTGACCAGTACCTAGGACCAGGGTGGAAAGGCTACTACTGGATTTGGAATCAAAGAATCTGGGCCCCAAACCCAAACACCTGCTGGGTCCAACTCTGCCATCTCCTTTATTGTCTGCACAGGTGAAGGCCAAGGAGAGGGGTATCAGCAACACCTAAGAAATAAAAGTGAGTTTTGACAAACAGTTCTCCAACCTCCATTTAAAATCCTTTAGGTTCTGCTTCACCCCTAGCCTGGACAGCTGGGTGGCATAATAGATAAGAGTGATGGGCCTGGAGCGAGGAACTTTTAGTTCAGACACTTACAACCTGTGTGACCTTGGGCAGTCATTCTGCCTTGGTTTCCTAATCTGTAAAACAGGGATCCTAACAGCACCTACCTCCCAGATAGATTATTGTGAGGATGAGGTAATAAATATAAAGTACTTGGCACATAGTAAATGCTATATGTGTTAAATGTCAATGATCCGGTTCTCTATAAAAGTTTTTATGTGAACCATCACTAATTAAAATTTTGGAAGACAAATATGATACGTAATGTTGCTAGTGAGTTATGAAAATTCATGTATTTTCTCCCTTTGAGGATAAAGATAAACGTTTATGGGGACACAAATGAACACGCCCTTACCAAGAACCGCACATGCTCTGTGCCTGCCAACTACTGATGCCCTGCTCTGTAAATTGAGCATGACCATGCCTTCCTGCAGGAGGCTTAACAATCACCTGGCCCAGCCATTTCATTTTATGGTCCAGGTAGGAATGACAACTTGCTCAGTCGTATCCTTTTCCTGAAGGATTTCCTGGATTTTCTGGGATCTCCCTGAAGGCAATTTCTATCTTGTGCCTGTTTTCTGAAGATGAAAACAATTCATTTTGCAAAGAGTATGAATATTCTTTCTGAAAGCCAACAAAGCCAACCTGTGTCATTCTAGCTCCTCCTTTCCCCCTGCTTTTTATAACTAGAGAAGTAAGAACAGATTCTACTAAGGCATCATTCTCTTGTTCACAAAGGGCTTTCCTCACAGCAACCTTGTGGAGCAGATGCCTGTCGACCTGTTTATGCATCTCCAATGTATAACAAACAGCACCAGCTACTGGAGGAAAGAATGCCCCATCATGCAGCTAGCAGAGGAAGGGCTGGGATCCTGGTCTTCTGGCTTCTTTAAGTCCCGTGCTATTTCCACTCTATTCCTCTGCCTCTAACCAAGGAAAAGAGGTGTTTTGGTCATGTGAAGAGACAGAAGAATTCTTTCTAGATAAAGAACCTGCAAGTTTCCAGAGCTGAAGCCTCCCAGAGCCACATTCAGCTACAGGGACAAGAGCTACCTACTCTCTCTTCTGGGGAGAGCATCTCTCTCTCTTTTTTTAAACTTCTGAAAACCTAACTGAAATCAGTCAAGTACAGGAAACTATGGGCTTTATATATGAAGTTATGAGTTGAAGTTGGCTCAATTCTAGCCTTTCCACAGACCACAGAAGAATAACTAACTTCACCCCCTGAACATTTAAAAAAATCTGGTGTGAAAGACACATAGAAAAATAACAAAGTAAAATTTTATTTCACAAGGTTAAGCAGAGCAAATAAAAATTCTGATACTTTTCTTACATAATCTCTGAGAGTTTGAATATGATTTTTAAAAAATAACTTAGACATGAACAAATTAAGTTATCTCTAAGTCCCACATGTGCAAAAATACATCAGAAATCATTTCAAAGAAAACTGAAAGGAGGCATTTGGGAACACTACTTCCAGCAGGATTTGGGGGACTAAAGGAATTGAAGATCAGAGGCTGGGCAAATGACAGAAGCCATGTTACACTTATGTTACCATTTTTATGAATTAGAACATAAATGGTACATGTTAATACAATTAATCAAAAACTGGTTACTGACAATTTACTTATGATAGCAGCAGAGTGAGAAATTCTCTTTCTGGGCAACTATAACTAAAAAAAAAGAAAAAAGAACTGGTTTGAAAATCTATTCACTCAGACCTACCTTTACAAAACCTATGGTACTACAGTTATGTTTAAATACTTAAAAGGGGAAACATGGAGTTTTAAATACTAAGTTAAAGGCCACACACCTGTGATTTCTGACCGAAGGTTAAAAGAAAATTAACCCAGAAGGGGAAATGCCTGAGTCACTTTTTTCCCCCACAGGCCTGCTACTCTCCTCAATGCTACTCTGTATGAACACAGCTAAGTGAAATCACACTCACAAGATTGAGTAATCTGTGTGGCAGGGGATGCCTGCTTTGTCAGATGACTACTCTATCTCCACTCTGAAAGGAATCCTTGGATATTTTATAATTGTCCAAAACCGGGAAGGGGTGAAACTGGGTAAGCTGAAGGTAAACGATAGCACCTACATAACTGAGACATCTTAACTGGTTTGTTTTCCACAGAGTACTCTTCCCCATCATCCTCAATTCAGAATGTATTCTCAAGTGAATAAAAACATAGGCCTGTAGATTTGGCAATCAGGAATCTTACTACCAAGACAACAAAATCCAGCAAGTCTTTAAGAGGAAATTCTGAACATGAAGCATGGTGAACCTGTAGGTGGGCGGAGGCAAGCCTCAACAAATTCGCAATTCCCAAAAGAAATGATTTAGGAAATAGTTACAAATTCTCCAAAATAGATACAAATTTGCTCAGCTGAAGATGATTTGCAGTCTCGAGATGAGGTCTTTTGAAAGCCTGCACAGACAACAAGGGGATAAAATAAATATTTGCTTAAGGAAATACTATAAATCCTAATATGAAGCCAAGCACCTAAAAATGTTAAAAGTAACAGCAAATGCAAAACATTCATAGGGTCATAGGATTTAGAATAGATATTAGAGATAATCTGATCTTAGGTCCTTGGGTGTGGCCTTTTGACTTAGTCCAAGTTTTACAGAACAAATGCTTTTACTAAGGGGATTTATCCTGTGAAGTGTGGATTCAGTCAAAAGGCTGCACTTAATGTCCACATGTGGCCTTGAGGCCAAAGGTTCCCCACCTTGATTTAATCTCTCATTTTACAGATGGGTAAAGAGAGGAAGGGACTTGCTTCAAGTCACCCAGGAGCAGAGCTGTTCTGGAACCCATGTACTCTTTTCCACAGCTAGTAATCTTTTTTATACAGCATTCCCTTACATAGTATTCTTTGGGGGATTAACAGAAATGCAAAGGAATGAATCGTCACTGAAAATGAAGTACAGGTACATACTGCTTTTAGAATACACAACATTCTCAAACCTAAAAATGAAAAACAAATTTGGGGGTGAGGGTTAACAGTCACACTAGAGAAATATCAGAGAAGAGTTCTTATGTTTACAAAGAGGTTCACTGCAGGTTTCTTTACATAAGGAACTTGCCTGCTTTACATTTTAAATACACCTTATTGACATCATTTTCTGCTCCTCTTAGCTTCCTACATCACTTCAAGCCAAAAAGCTTAATTCTTAAGCTTCCTGTCTCTAACAATCACAGTAAAGTACAGGGTGAACAAAGAGGCAATAAATTCTATACTACTGGTTGAGCTAATTTGGGCAAAAATTAGACCCAAATGCCCACTTTCTCTGATAACTTATGTGGGTGGTTATACAAGGATGGCTGATCTTAAACAGTTCACCTATAAAGAGTGTGAATGCCACTGTTTCACACTGCTCGCATTTCCTGCCGCCTTCCTAACTTCTGAATGGTATCTGTCGCTAACAGTCTAGTCTATATGAACCCAGGCAATACTTGATGTCTTATTTGAATATTTCTACCAATAGGCAGACATGTATTTCTCTTAAACCCACAATATAGCTGCTCACACTAGTAACAACAATCAACATTTATCAAATGCCTTTTGTGTGCAGAGTAAGACATGCTAGGTAAGACATGGTCTTTTCTTTTAAAGGATCTACAGTCTAAGAGGAGACAGTAAGACACCAACATAGATTGTTAAAAAACACAGGATTACGTGAAAGGCAACTGGACTCCAACGAGAGAAAAAAAGCCAACAAAGTGAGGCAAAAAGAGAAAATGTCATATTTTGGTAAATCACTTCAAAACATATATGAGAAGATACTATGCTTTTTAAAAACTTTTTCTTATGAACGAACACAGACTTACTTTGAGACGAAAAACATCAAGTGACTTTGCCCAAGGACACCTAAAAAGAGGTATGACAATTCTTTTTTTTAATATCTTCATCAACTATGCCATTTCCCCACAGAAAGCGTGCAATTTCCAGGATTAGGATTCACAAGACTTATTAAGTTCTTAACTTACTAATGGGTTGCATTCTAAAAATTCACTTAGAAGTTGGTAGTTTGGAACCTGAAATCTTTTTTCCATAAAAATAATATTTGAAATGGCGAGCAGATTCCTAGGTCAGTCCTCAAAAACCCCACCTGACAGGTGATAAAGCCAAAATATTACTAATAATAGCCCTGGATTTCATAGCTTTATAAGATTCCTGAGCCCAAGCTCCAAAGGCTATGGGGAGGGGAAAGCACCAGTAGCTGGGCCAGGCCTAAGCTGACTCCCACAGCAATGAAAAAGGAGGACACAGGCAAAAAGAAGCAATCAAGTTGTCTTAAGTTGGGGATCGTCTATAGTACTGGTGTATATTTTCAAAATCTTATTTTGAATGTAAAACAATAAATTGGTTTTTGATAACTGTATTCATGTGTGGATGCTGAAGAATCTGAGAGAATATTCGCTGTCATGGAGAATCTTGGCAATTTTTAGTCATCCAAGGTTGTTCTGTTGCAAAACTTGCTAAGAGAGAAAGCAATATACAACACACATGCACAAATTCTCCTGAGTATTCAAGGGCAAATGGTGACAATCTGACAAAGAAAACTGGGCCAATATAGGAAAGGTTATTTTCAAGATGTCCCTTATTCTATGCAAACCTTCCCCAAACACTTCAATCTTACTGAAAGATTATTGGGTTTTAGATTTTTTTTATTATATCTGGAAGACGCTGTCTGAATGGAAGAAACATCCCTTAACTATGGCGGGAATGTTTCAAGTAGAAAATTAAGAAAACCAGATATTTCATTCATCTTCTAAAGAGACAGAGATAAATCAGAATGAATAAATTACAAATTAGTCTATTTACTAATTACTCTTCCTTTGCATAGTATCAGGAGAACAAGGAAAGAGCAAGATTCATCTACATTGTGTGTCAAATAGCAAGGGACTACTTACTTTTTAGACTCAAAGACACCTTCAACAAGAAATCAAGTCTTCTCATAAACTCATAGGGGAAGGTCAGTGTTTAGCAGTTTTATTCTTTGAAACCCGCAAGTATCAAAGACAACTAACTTCTCTCTCTGAGTCTTGTCTTAAAAAATAATAAAAAGAACATACTCTAAACTAGAATTTTTAAATTAAAAGAAATAAATGCATTTGCAGGAGGGGGAGATAACTAAATTTCCTCCTCAGTCTCTGCCCTCATTTCTGCTTCTCTTTATGGTCCCCCCATAACTCCCCCTCAGCTCACTCTAGTCTGGAAGAAGAAAGAAGCTGGATTGGCTTTACTGTATTTAGGGATGCTGACTGTCAGATACATTAGAGCAAGGCCTGCAAACTCTCTCTGCCCAAATAAAAAGTTTCAGCAGCTGCACATTTAGGTATTAGTTTTATATGATGCAGAGGACTGCAGCTTGACTTAGCCTACCCTACCCTATGAGTACTGAAATCAACATCAGCTAGCTAGCTTTGCATACTGGAAAATCTTTTATGAATGAGAGATTATCTAGCTTAGAGAAGGGCAAGTGATTTATTCTTACGGGCATATGAATGAAAATGTAAACTTTTGTATCCTAAAAGAATAAATTTCATAGGATTTAAGGGACTCTGACATCTGTGTATATTAAAGACACAAACATATCCAGGATAATTCTTCAATTACTGGTAAATAAACACATCTATGCTGAATATTTTCATTGCCCCACCTTTTAAACAGCAGAATTAAAAGCCCATTTAAAACAAATCTTTCTACACATTAAGCTAATAGGAGGTACATCACTGGTACAAATAAGTCATTTTTCTTGAAATCATTCTATGTTAGAATTAATGTTCATAATACTCACTGATTTAAGTTTTCTATTACCACATGTGATAGAAAGATGCCAACAGACTGCAACTGTGAATTCCTGAAGCTCAGGAAAAGGCAGAGTAACTCCCCAACATAGTCTGGACCCAGGGTTTGCCACCTATTCAAACAAACATCTTAGCATTTAGTCATACCTTTAAATTAAGCCTACTTAACAATTTAAGCATCAATTTCATTTCTCTCAGAACATATGCAAAATCAGCAACAAGTGCCTTTCTCTCCTACAGAGCAATCAATTTTGAGGACGTTCAACAAACACCTATTAATGATGACAGCAAATACCTTCAAAGTTTATAAATGGGACCTTCTCAGAAAGGTGACAAGGAATGGGTAGAAATACAAATGTATCTTATGTTTCTCATATTTTTTGCTCCATAAATCTCAAGGACCTTTTTAAAATTAAATTTTTTTTTTTTTGCATTTTGGGGTTCAATCTCATTGAATTCCTATTTTTAAGGTTAGATGATCTTTGGTTGTTTCTTTACTCATGGATGAGTACTACCCCCCCACCATCTCCCTCTCCCCATGATAGGAGGCAGAAGGAAGGAATATTTCATTATATTCCAAAGATACAAATCAGGAAGTCAGATTTTTTTCCTAAGATAGACAACTTTCCTTCTTCTATATGGGAAGCCTTGAAAGCCTCTAACCTTAGCCATTTGAGAAGCAAACAGTTACCAGGAGAATTCAGTTTATTTATTGTAGTAAACCAGTCATCTTTCAAACAGCTCATAGCTACATCACCACCAGTGTTCACTCATGATAATGACTAGAAGAAGGCTAGATCTAGTAATAGCCCTTTGTATGAGATACAAGTAAAACATAAGGATTTCCCCACCTTCCCCATATTAAAAAAAAAAAGCAGGATGAAAAATAATAGTGGCATTCAGCATAACTATAGTCAAACCACCATTTCTTAGGATGCTTTTCCATTCAGGATAAATAAATTATTTAGAATTGGTGATTAACTTATGCACCACTACTTTCTCAGAGCAGGAAGAATGTAAAGTTCATCTTACTACCACTGTACTTACAAAGACAAGGAAAGGCTAAAGAAAGTGACTTTCTTGGGGCAGCTAGGTGGTGCAGTGGAAAGAGCCCTGGCCCTGGAGTCAGGAGGATGAGTTCAAATTAGGCCTCAGACACATAGCATTTACTAGCTGTGTGCCCCTGGGCAAGTCACTTAACCCCACTGGCTAGCAAAAACAAAACAAAACAACCCCCCTCCCCCCTGAAAAGAAAATGACTTCTTGTAATTAAAAGGCTGATGTAATATGTATCATTATTTTGCTTTCTCCATAGCACTGGTTTACTGTTTACATTCCCAGCTAAAAAACTATTTAGGAACAGTAACAGAAGAGTGAAGTACTGGTTATATACAATTTTCTTTATAGGAAAACTATATATGTATACTTATTGAACTCATAAATATTTTATATGTATCAGATATATATCAAACATATAAATATAAAACATATGTAGTTTTACTGAAATTATATATATTTAAATAATTGAAATCTTACCCAACAAACCCTGGATAAGAAAGCTAAGCAAGTGAAAAAACAGTATAATAAAATGGAATTAATGCATATTGGGCTTGAATTATAATGAGATACGAGTACTTTATCAGGTAAAAAGCATTTATATAAAAAGTACATCTATTATTTTTATGATCTTATAAGCAACAGAGGCCAGTGATTTGTGAAACAGAGAAATTACTTCTAGCAGAGCAGCTGTGTCTTCTAAGGCCTATTAACAGAATCATGACTCACTCATAACTGTGGAATATAAAAAATTCACAAAGCCTCACAGAAAGCCAATTTTCCCTACACAAAATATTCAAGGTTACATTTCTTCAATTTGGGATGAGGAATAGAGGGAAAGTGAGTTTACTTTCCACGCATCAAAAGACCCCATCCTTATATATAAGTGGTCAGGACAACTACATTCATCAACTACTACTTGACAATGCATTGGTATCAATAGTTGTCTGATAAGTACCAACGGCTCCCTCAGGTTTGCTTTCTGGCATCTTCTAAATGAGTAGTCCAAGGAGGAAACACTTACAATTTCAGCAGGGTGTGTTTCTGGTAACTCAGATCTCTGGCAATCATACTGACAACATCATGAAGAACAGGCATTCGGGACAAGAGGCCTTCCAAAAATAGCTTTAGTGCCCAGAAATTTTTCTAGGAAAGTTAAAAAAGAAAGAGATTTTAATTCACTGCCATAGCAAACATTTCACTGTAATTCTCTCTTGCCTTTTCACCTTTCTCCCTAACTTCATATCCACACAGGTAACAGAAGTATCATTTAAGTATACCGAGGCTCTAAAGGTGACTCACATTTATAGACTAAGAGCATTCATAATATTCAGCCATCATTATGAGCCTACTTTATGTAAAGGGCTGCAGCAGCTTTAAGCATTTTATTTATAGTGTTCCAAAAAGTCTTAGTGCAGTGGCAGTTTTAAGTTTTAACAGCTTAAAACCGAATTAAGAATTTTGGGGATGCTACACACACACATTAAGTGTTTTTTAATGTTTTTGCTTTCTCTTGATAGCATGACTGCAACTCCTGCTTTTATGCCCCTCATTTTTATTTTGGCTCTTTATTTTTGAAATGTGTTTGGTGTGCGGAGCAGATTCAGTCTGTTACTTTTTTGTTTTATTGGACTGTTTAGTCCATTTACACTGAAATTTATGAGTTAATTTTATATTTTCCTCCATTTGTCTCTAATAGTTCCCCTTCCCCCCACAAAAAAATCAGGCTATTTTTCCCCCCTTCCTACATAAACTCAGTACTATATCTCTGCAGTTATTTTAGCTTAATTTTAAGGCAATCCTATTCCCACAGGCTCTCTTCTTTTCATTCTCAAGCCTCACCCCTCCACTTGTTACCTCTTTACTTGGTTTTGCTTAGTGTTTTCCTTTCTGTTACCTAGTTAATTTAATTCTTCCCCTCTTTTCCTCTCAGTTAAGTAATCAACAACCCTCTTCCTCTCCTTTCTTGTTAGCCAGTTTTTAAAAATGCCATTTTCTGTGCCTTTTTCTAAAAAAAAATTTCTTTTCTTCATTCTCTTCATTATTTATCTTCCTGTTTTGTCTGCTCTAGACTTTTATTGTTTAATTCATGGTCCTTATAATTATTTAGCCCTTCTTTAGTGTCTGCATTCTCCATGAAACTAAAATTTCTAAGGTACCCATTTTAGGTTCCTTCTTCTAAAGTTTCTGTATTATTGCCATGTAGATCTTGCCCCACACCTCTTCTCTCCCTTTTCTGTTGTGCCTCACTCTAAGAAAAAGCACCCTTGTAGGGAACAGAGAAGATATTGACTCATAGGATTCTTCCTACATCCTTGATCAGTTTATTCCCGATTTCTACCTGCCACTGGTTATTTTTTTCTCCATTTGCCTCAAAATCTCCTCCCTAGATCCATGCCCTTACATTCTTCTGAGTGTCAGGTGCTCTAGGAGCTCCGGTTTCCCTTCTCCTGAGGCAAGCTGAATGGTCCAAGCACCAAATCTCTGCAGACTGTATTTACTGTTAAGTTTCTTTTGTTTTAGAGTCTCTCTCTTCAACCATAGAACATTCATCAGTGGTATCTCCTACCACCAATGAAATAAGATTCTCCCCTTTTCCAATCCCTCCCTTTGTCTCCTCAATCATACTCCACTAAGCTCTCTTCTTCCTGAGAGATCACAGGGATTATTTTCCCTTCGTTGTTAGCCTTTAACCTGACTAGGGTATATCATATGTTCCCCTCTATCTTCTTCCTCCTCTCACCTGCTTTGTGCACACCTATTCTGTAATTTAGTCCCATAAAAAACACCAATTTTCTTATAGGTAAAGTGTTAGGGGGTTTTGTGCATTAGGTTTCAAGCCTGGTTCTCACTTCTGCTTTCACTCATGTCTCTCTGTGTACATTTAGAAAGAAATCTCTTCAAGGTCTGTCTTCATGATATTTCTGTTACCTTGGACATTTGAAAGGCAAATAATTTTTTCGGGTCTGGTTTTCTTTCAAGAAATGTTTCAAATGCCTCTTTCTGATCGAATGTTTATCTTTTTTTCATTTATGGTTAGGCTCAGATTTGCGGGGTAAATCACCTCGGGCTGTGCATCTTGGGTTCCTTTGCTCTTCAGAAAATATGATTTCATTTCCTCCTCTGGTTTTCAGTGGGTTCAGAACAATCTTATGCTATTAAAATTTCAAAATTATAGCTAGATGAGTGCCAGACCTGGAGTCAGGAAGACTCGTCTTTCAGAGTTCAAATCCAGCCTCAAACACTTACTAGTTTATATGACCCTGGAGAAGTCACTTCACCCTGTTGGCCTCAGTTTCCTCATCTGTAAAATGAGCTGGAGAAGGAAATGGCAAAGCACTCCAGTATCTTTACCAAGGAAGGCCCAAATGGGGCCATAAAGAGTAAGACATGACTGAAACATCTGAGTGATAACAAAAATTAAAATTTCCCTTCCTTTATATTTGAAGATCTTTCTTGCTTGAAGAATTTGTCATTTGTCAGCCGAATGGCCACTATTTGTCTTGGAGCTTACAGCATAGAGTTTGCTCCTGGAGGTGATCTATGGATTCTCTGGACTGGCACTTTGTTTTCTTTGTTTGGATGGTCTGGGTGGTTTTCTTGCATTATTTTTTGCATTATGGTATTCAGGAATTTTGACTTGTCATACTCTTCAGGGAGACCTCTAATTCTTAAGTTATCTTTATTCATTTTGTGTTCAAGGTCAATTAAGCTTTGTTTATGTGGAGATAACGCTTTCCAGGGTGGAGCCAAGATGGCAGAGTAAAAGCAGTGACTTGCCTGAGCTCTCCCACAAACCCCTCCAAATACCTGTAAAAAATGGCTCAAAACAAATTCTAGAGCAGCAGAATCCACAAAAAGACAGAGTGAAACAAATTTCCAGCTCAAGACAACCTGGATGGTTGATTGGAAAAGTCTATTGTGCTGGGCTGGGAGAGAAGCGCAGTTCAGTGTGGGCACGCAGGCAAAAACCAGGCCTCAGGAGACCTGGAAACCACCACAGCTGCCTGTGATTCAGACTTCTCAACCCACAATAGCCAAAGATAACTTACAAGGTCAGTAGGAAAGGGGACAGCAGTGAGAGAGAAGCTCTGTCCCAGCCCCAGTCCCAGCACTGGGTGGCAGCTGCTTCTGAAGCTCTCAGCCCACAGACAGAGGGGAAATCGAGTGGCTGATCAAAGGGGGATTGCAGGGATCTCTTTGCTGGTGCTGAGGCAGGATTCTCTTGCTTTGCCTGTGCTTGGATCTGGGTCGCAGTTCTGGATGGCAGTCCTAGGGCGAGGAGGAGCGCTGGCATGGTGGACCTTGTAGTGGCAGTGGAGAGGGAATCCTCCTCACAGTGCCAAGGCAGAAAAGAAGGCTTGTGGTCACTCACAGGCCAAGAAAGGAGTAAACACCTCGCCTTTGATTGATAATGCTTTCCTTTAATGTTATTGCTTTTTAGTTCTCTTGTTCTAGACCTTCATTTCAATATACTTTAGTTATCCTTTCTGTTGTTTCATAAGTGAGACTGGCCACTGTGGATTCTTTTCTTTTTTAAATCCTGCCAATTATATCTTGCTTTCACAATTCTTATTTTCTTTTAAACCATTCTTTTATCCTGCAGAAGTCCCACAAGGTCCTTTGCTTTATCAGGTATTGGAATAATTTTCCTTTGTCTTTACAATACTTGTTCATAGAAGCCCGAACTCTCTAATCTGATCTGGAGGCCACATTCCCTTCTACTATCAGTATCTTCCCTGTTGGTTTATCTGTTTATGCTCAAGGTCTTTAATTTAGTTTTCTTCCTCCTGAGATCTTTGGCAATTTCAGTCCTTCTCCCTTATTTTCCACTATTATTCTTTGTTTAACCCTCTCCTTTGATGGCAATTTCCTCGGAGGCTAGATCTCAAAGTGTCTCAGTCTCCCCTCATGCTTGGCAACTCATGGTTTATCAGTGTTGGTTCTCTGTCCCAAGGGACTTCTGAGGGATCAGAACTGGGTCTAGCTAGATGCCGAGCTCTTTCTGCTCAGGATTAGAAAAGTGACACAAAGGCAAACACAGAGATCCTATCCCCCTTTTCTCTGCTATTCCATTCCCTGGATGATCTCCTTGTTCGGTACGTAGCTGGAATCAGCAACTACTCCTCACCTGGAATGCCATCCCTAGGTACAAGTCCCCTCCTTAGTGCTCCCTGGATCTATGACCTAGAATTAGGCAGTGAGCAAGAGAGCTGCCAGTTGGCTCTGGGTGTACCTGTTCTTAGCACCTGGCATGCTTCTGGACAGATACCATACCCAATATCCACAAATCTGTCTCCCCTATCCTTATCTAAGCTGGAAAAATCATTTGCAGTCAGCTTTTTTCCCCTCGTATTTCCTCATCAGAATTTGGTCTGGTGCATTTTCTAGATCTGTTTAGAGGAGCTGTGGAGGTGGAGATTGCTGTACCTCTTTCTGCTACTCTGCCATCTTGGATGACCCAAGCCCAGTACTTTTATCCACTTCACCATACTGCATTTTATACAAATGCATAATAACTACAATGCCAAAGAGAGTATATCTATCTATCTATCCATCTGGTGTGATTAAAAGACAAGTACTCTGGGGAGGTCAGAAGAAGGAAAAGATCATTTCCTCTATGGCTTAGTGGAAGTATTCAGGGATCAGAAAAGGCTTCATGGAGTTAGTATCATTTGAGCTACTCTTATCTGGGAATGGATTGACAGAAAGGCTGAGAGAAGGGGCAGTGTTCAAGGTATAGGGACTATGTCACCTTGGCCAATGGAATGGGGAGAGAAAAATGCTAGTTATACATGAAGACAAGAGTAGTCCAGTTTGGTGGTACACAGAATACATGTAGCCTGGGCAGTATGAGTAAAGACTCAGAGGAAAATCAGTGTTGTGAAGGGCCTTCACTGCCAGGATAAGGAACGTGGACTCATCATGTCACTCCCCTACTCAAATCCCTTCAATGGCTCCCTATAGACTACAGCAAGTCATACCCAGGAAAGAGTAATCTGGTAATGGGATAAAGAATGGAATAGGGTAGGGTGGGGGAAATGCAAGGTAGAAGGAAGAATTTCAATCAGGTAGTAGAAAGGGTCTGAACCCAGGAAGATGACAATAGGAATAGACAGGAAGGAAAATGGTAGCTATGGGGAATATTGTAGAGATAGAATTAAAGCCTGGTAAATGACTGGATGTGGGCTAAACGGTTATACATTATCTTTGTATTTATGACTGTTAGTACCTGGGTTCAGATTTTTTCTTTTTTAATGACCCACACCCATAGGCTGGAAATACAGGTGCTCCTCATAGCCTGATCAACACAGGAGTTTTAACTGGCTCCATTTCTGACCTGGGTTGGTTCACGCTCTCCCAATGCAACATAGTGATCCCTCATACCCAGGGGCTCATGATATTAATGCCCAACTTAGTACAGACACTGAAATGCTTGGGCCACTGCAATTCAGAACTCCCAAGCTCAAGAAATCTGCCAACCTCACCATTCCTATAATAGCAGGGATTACAGATACGTGCCACCATGCCTGGAGGTCTTTTGAAAAAGAAAAAAAAAAGTAAAAAATTGCTTTAATCACTTAGATTCAAAAATTTAGAACTTACCCCAAAAGCTAACATGATTTCAAGAAAAGAAGTCAACCATGGCAAGTCAGTTAGCAGCATCTGAAGCACAGCTTGAATGGTGAGAAGAAAGCAGGCCTCAAGGTTTTGCTAATTAGAAAAACAAACAAACAACAATCAGAGACAAATACCCAAGTACACTCATTCCTCTTTATTAAGCAATGCTATGAGTGCAAAAGCACCCAGGACCTCCCTATCAAACTAAATGACATATAGGACTCATTTAATCACAGAAACATGAAATAAGCTGACATTTACAGAGCACTTTAAGACTGACAGAGGGCTTTCTATCACTTCATTTTCTCCCCCTAACAATCCTGTGAGTTAGGTGGTACAATTTTTTAGGCCCAGTTTACAGAAGAGGTAGCTGAGACTCAGAACTGACTGTAAGTTGAAGGGTCAGGATTCAGCTGAATTCAACAAACACTGACTATGTATACCATATGATAGGTACTGTGCTAGGGAACAAAAACAAAAACAATCTTCATCTACAAGGAGCTTATGAATCCTGTAGAGGGGTAAAACATATGTAGCTAAATCTATACAATAAAAAACAAAGTAATTTCAAAAAAGAGGAAGCACTTAAGAGCTACAGGGGTGAGAGAAGTTTCTGTGCTAACAAGTGGCACTGAAAAGCACTGTGAGAAAAGCTTGATTCTATGAGGTGGAGAAGAGGCAGGGGGCATCAGACGTGGGGCACCATGTAAGCAAAGGCACAGGGGAGGAAGATGAAATGTAGTAAAGGGGAAAACAGTTTAAGCCAATTTGACTATAAAGGAGAGTCCCTAAAATAAATAAAATTGGATAGGATTGTAGGAGCCAGACTGTGGAAGGCTTTAAATGCCAAATTGAGGATTTTATATTTTATCCGGGAGGCTAAACCCATGTCTTCTGCCACCAAGTCCAAGTAAAACCAAGCTGCTTCAGTAACAGCAACATGAAAGAAACACAATGGAATTGCATGGATTAAATCACCCTTAGCAAGAGATATGATCACATCTTTCCACAGCTTAGAAGTTCTCCCCTGACCACCCAAGTCTGAATTCCTTGGCTTGGCATTCTGGGCTCTGACGTATCTTTTCAGACTTCTCTCTACTCGCCTTTATGTATTCTCTTTGCCTAAATTGGACAACTTGCCTCATTCCTGTTCCCACAAATATGTACCACTCTTTCTTGCCTCTGTGCTTTTGCTCACATAGTTCTTCATAACTTCAATACCTTCTCTATCTTCACCTGTTGAAATTCTTCTCTTTCTTCAAAGCCTGGTTCAAATGCTACCTCCTCCACGAAAGTTTCCCTGATTCGCCACAGTTAAAAGAGATCTCACAGTGACTTCTTCAAACTCTATCTTATTTAGTTTTTTATCTCCTCTAGTACCTAACACACAGTGCCTTTCATATGTGTGTCTAGTGATAAATATTAAATGAATGAATCAATCAATATTTATTAAATGCCTTCCATGTGCCAAGGACTGTGCTAAGCACTGGGGATACAAAAAGAAGCAAAAGACAGTCCCTGCCTTCAAGAAGCTTACAGCTTAATGGGAGAGACAACATGCAAACAAAGATATACAAAGCAAGCTATAAATAGGAAATTATTAAGAGGGAAGGCACTAGAATTAAGAGAGGTTGGGGAAGGCTTCCTGCAAAAGATGAGATTTTAGTTTGGACTTAAATGAAGCCAGGGAGGTCACTAGTCAGAGTGGAAGAAGAGCATTCCAGGCATGGGAGACAGCCAGAGAGAATGCCCAGAGCCAAGAGACGTGTCTTGTTCTTGGAACAACCAGGAAGCTGGGGTCATCGGATCAAAGAGTTTGTACTGAAATTAAGGTGCAAGACTCGAAAGGTAGGAGGGGACTAGGTTATGAAGCGCCTTGAATGCCAAGCAGAGCATTTTTATTTGTTCCTGGGGAGAGACTTGAGGCAGGTAGACCCACCAGTAGGCTATTGTAATGGACTAAGTGTGGGGTGATGAGAGCCTGCATTATAGTGATGGCAGTGTCAGAAGAGAGAAGGGGGTGTATGCAGGAGGTCTTGCAAAGGTAAAACAGACAGACCTTGGCAACAGTTTGGATATGGGTTGGGGTGGGGATGGTGTGAGAGACAGTGAGCAACGCAGAACGACTCCTAGGTTGTGAGCCCGATGAACTGGGAAGATGTTGTTGTCCTCTATGGAAATAGGGAAGGTAGGAGAGAGGTGGGTGGGGTGGGTTTAGGGGGAGAGATAATGAGTTCTGTTTTGGATATACTGAGTTTAAGATATCTATAGGACATCCAGTTCAAGATGTCTGAAAGGAAGCTGGAGATGTGAGACTGGAAAGACTGGGGTAATTCTCAAGCTGATGTATAGTTTAAATACTCAGACTGAGGCCTATGGTATTAAAGATTATTCATTATTTAACACTGCAACCTCAAATATCAGAACACACAGAGAAAAAGAGGCAAAATTACAAACTTACAGAACCATAAAATACATTTGAAGGCAAAGAAACATTGACTTTCAATCTCAGTTCTTCTAAAATGCCAAAGGACACGTCACATACCATCTGCAACAAAGTCACATGTTGTAGGATTTAGAGTGGAAAAGATACCACAGCTTGTTTAGCTATTCCCCAATTGATGGGCAACCCTTTGATCTCCAATCTCAGCCACCACAAAAAGATTAAAAATCATCTAATTTGACCCCTATCATTTTTTAAAATATATTTTATTTTTCGCCCCAATTACATGTTAAAACAATTTTAAACTTGTTTTTTAAGTTTTCAGTTCCAAATTCTATCATTCCCTTCCTCCCTCCTCCGAGACAGTAAGCAATCAGATATGTTATACAAGTGCAATTATGTAAACATTTCCACATTAGTAATCTTGTATAAGACGACGCGAATAAAAGAAAAATGGAAGTGAAGAATAGCATGCTTCAGTCTGTATTCCCCTCCAACATGCAACATTTTCCTTTTTTGTCACATTAGCCCATCTGATAGGTGTAAGGTGGTACACTTCAGAGCGGTTTTAATTTGCCTTTCTCTAATCAACAATGATTTAGAGCATTTTTTCATATGACCATAGATAGCTTTGATCTCTTTGTCTGAAAACTGCCTGTTCATATTCTTTGACCATGTATCACCTGGGGAATGATGTCTTTTCATAAATTTGACTCAGTTCTCTATATATTTGAAAAATGAGGCCTTTATCAGAAATATTTGTTGCAAAATTCCTCCCCCCTCCCAGTTTTCTTCTTTCCTTACATTTTGGTTGCATTGGTTTTGTTTGTGCAAAAAACTTTTTAATTGTTTGTAATGCTCTCTATATTTTTGTTGGTCCTAAATTCTTCCCGTATCCATAAATCTGACAGATAAACTATTCCATGTTCTCCTAATTTGCTTACAGTATCATCCTTTATGTGTAAATCATGTACCCATTTTGACTTTATCTTGGTAGATAGCGTGAGATGTTGGTCTATACCTAGTTTTCCCCATACCGTTTTTTCAGTTTTCCCAACAGTTTCTGTCAAATAATGACTTTTTGTCCCCAAAGCTTGGATCTTTGGGTTTATCTTACAGATTACTGTGGTCATTTACTACAATGTAATTTGTATCTAACCTATTCCACTGATCCTCCACTCTTTCTTAGCCACTACTATATTGTTTTGATAATTACTGTTTCATAATACAGTTTGAGATCTGGTATGGCTAGACCACCTTCTTTCACATTTTTTTTTCATTAATTCCCTTGATATCCTTGAGCTTCTGCTCTTCCAGATGAATTTTGTTATTATTTTTTCTAGCTCCATAAAATAATTCTTTGATAATTTGATATGGCACTTAATAAATTAATTTAGGTAAAATTATCATTTTTATTATATTGGCTTGGCCTATCCATGAGCAATTGATATTTTTCTAATTGTTTAGATCTGACTTTGTGTGAAAAGTGTTTCATAGCTGTGTTCATATAGTTCCTGGGTTTGTCTTGGCAGGTAGACTCCCAAGCATTTAATATTGTCTACAGTTATTTTAAGCAGAATTTCTCTATCTCTTGCTGCTGGACTTTGTTGGTAATATATAGAAATGCTGATGATTTGTGTCTGTTTATTTTGTATCCTGCAATTTTGCTAAAGTTAATTATTTCAATTAGGTTTTTTGGTTGATTTTCTAGGATTTTCTAAGTATAACATCATATCATCTGCAAAGAGTGACAGTTTTGTTTCCTCAATGCCTATTCTAATTCCTTTAATTTCTTTTTCTTCTCTTATTACTATAGCTAACATTTCTAGTACAATATTAAATAGAAGAGGTGACAAAGCATCCTTGCTTCACCCCTGATTGTACTGTGAAGGCTTCTAGCTTATCCCTATTACAGATAATGCTTGCTGATGGTTTTAGATAAATATTACATATCATTTTAAGGTAAGCTCCATTTATTCCTATGCTCTCTAGTGTTTTGAATAGGAATGGGTGCTGTATTTTGTCAAAGGCTTTTTCTGCATTTATTGAGATAATTATATTTTTTCTGTTGGTTTTGTTATTGATATGGTCAACTATGCCGATAGTTTTCCTAATTTTGAAACAGCTCTACATTCTTGGCATGAATCCCACCTGCTCATAGTATGATCCTTGTGATATATTACTGTCATCTCTTTGCTAGTATTTTATTTAAAATTTTTGCATCAATATTCATTAGAGAAATTGGTCTATAATTCTCTTGGCTTTGGCTCCACCTGGCTTAGCTATCAGCATCATATTTGTGTCATAAAAGGAATTTGGTAAGACTCCTTTCTTTGCCTATTTTTCCAAACAGTTTATATAGTATTAGGGTTATCTGTTCTTTAAATGTTTGGTAAAATTTGCTCGTGAATCCATCTGGTTTGGTCGTGGGGATTTTTTCTTAGGAAGTCCACTGATGGCTTGTTCAATTTCTTTTTCTTAGACTGGGTTATTTAAATATTTTATTTCTTCTGTTAACCTGAGTAATTTATATTTTTGTAGATACTCACCTATTTCGTTTAAATTGTCAAATTTATTGGCATATAAGTAGGCAAAATAGCTCCTAACAATTGTCTTAATTTCCTCTTCGTTGGCGGTGAATTCATTTTTGATACCAGTAATTTGGTTTTCTTTTTTCCTTTTTTTAAATCAAATTAACCAAAGGTTTATATATTTTATTGTGTCCCCCATAAACCAGCTTCTAGTTTTATTTATTAGCTCAATGATTTTACTTTCAATTTTGTTACTCTCTCCTTTGATTTTCAGGATTTCCAATAGGGTGTTTAACTGGGGATTTTTAATTTGTTCTTTTTCTAGTTTTTTTTTTAGTTGCATGCCCAATTCATTGCTCTGCTTCTTCTCTATTTTATTGATGTCAGCAATTAGAGATATAAATTTTCCCGAGTACCACCTTGATTGCATCCCATAAATTTTGGTATGTTGTCTCACTGTTGTCATTTTCTTTAACTGAAATTATTGACTCTTTCTATGATTTATACTTTATTTTTTTAGGATTAGATTTTATTTAGTTTCCAATTAATTTTTAATCTCTTTCCATTGTCCATTATTGAATGTAATTTTTATCGCATTATAATCTGAAAAGCATGCATTTATTATTTCTGCATTTGGCTGTGAGATTTTTCTGTCCTCATACAAGGTGAATTTTTGTGTGGCTGCCGTGTACTGCTGAGAAAAAGGTATATTCCTTTCCATTCATACTCGGTTTCCTTACACATTTTATTTTTTTCATTTTTAGGCAACTGGGGTTAAGTGACTTGCCCAGGGTCACACAGCTAGTAAGTGTCAAGTGGTTGGTCTGAGGCAGGATTTGAACTCAGGTCCTCCTGACTTCAGAGCCGGTGCTCTATCCACTGTGCCACCGACCTGCCGCCCCCCATATTAGGTTTTCTCCAGAGATCTATATCTAACTTTTCCAGAATTTTATTCCCTTCCTTAACTTCTTTCTTGATTACTTTTTGGTTAGATTCATCTAGTTCTGAGAGGGGAAAACTGAGGTCCTCCAGTAGTAACTATTTCCTCTTGTAACTCATTCAACTTTTCCTTCAAAAATTTAGGTGCTATACCTTTTGGTGCACACACACACACTCTTAGCACTCATGACTTCATTGCCTATGGTGCCTTTCAGCAAAATAGTTTCCTTCCTTATCTCTTTTAATGATAATTTTTTAGATGAGTAATGTGAGGCCTAAAGACGTTAAGTGGCTTGCCCCTGTTCAAAAACGCAATGAGTATCAGGGTTGTTTTTGGAACCCAGGTCCTCTGAACCAGATCCAATGGTCACTTACTGGCTGAGTCAGACCTGCTTATTTTGTTCAAATGCAAAATGCTCTAGGCTAACCATAACTCAGAAGTCAACTACAATGGTGTATTGTTCTTTTGTATAGAAAGTTGTTAGTAGTTTGGTTTTTCATTTACAATTTCTTAAATCCTTGGAATGATATATTCACATCCTCGATATACTCCTGAAAGATTGCTGATACATACAGTTCTGGAGTTGGTTTAATATTGTTGAACCCTGACATTAAGGCAAAGAGTTCACATTCCTACAACTCATTTCATAATTTACAAAGTGCTTTCCTTAAAGCAATCCTGTGTGTTACATAGGGCAGGTGTTATTTTTCCCATTTTACAGATAAGGAAATTGAGACTCATAGCAGTAAGTGGCTTGCCCAAGATCATACAACCAGTAAATGTCAGAGTTGAGACTGGAACCCATGTCTTTTGGTTCAAGACTCTTTTTTAAAAAAAAGTTACATTACATATTTAAGTCCTATTCTTCTGTTGGCTTACACTATTATTTCAGAGGCTGTATGTATCAATTTCAGATTCTAACCCTTACTCATGATGCCCCACAGTATACCCAGGTCTGCACACAGGCAGGGTCTCATACAAACTGGGAGGCTGCGATCGGGAGTGAGGAATGGGTACAAAAGCATAAACAAGCACTTGAATATACCAGATAAGCTCAAGAAATTTAAAGGAACCATCCTTCCTGAAAAGAACATGCTCTAATCTATTTTCTATAAGTTGGATATACTAGTCTTATTAAACTAGGCCACATTTGCATATTCAGATTATCTTTAGAGCAACTAGTACCTAGATATTCAGCCTCCAAGCTTAAACTAAAAACAAATAAGCTTGAATATTTTTCAGAGAAACTTCAGGAAATGTCTAAGCTCAGGGGTAGGGAACCTGTGGCCTCAAGGCCACAGGCGGCCCTCTAGGTCCTTGGGTACAGCCTTTGGACTGAGTTCAAGTTTTATAGAACATTTTATTTTATTAAGGGGATTTGTTCTATGAAGTTTGGATTCAGTCAAAGGGCCACACTTGAGGACCTAGAGGGCCACATGTGGTCTTGAGGGCACAGGGTCCCCTCCGCTGGCCTCTATGCTACTTTTAAATTAAAGTATTAATTTAGGCCACCCCAGGATACTAGCTTGTTTCTTAGAAGATTACAAGTTACCTGTCTGAAGGAAGGTGCTGGTTCTCTCAGTGTGAGAGTAGTAAGGAGGCCATTCCGTTCCAAGATAGGACTACTGCCCAAAATTGTGATGAGGGCACTCCAGCATCTTGACTGAAAAACAGGAGTTTTAATTGACATCAAACTGCAGGCTCTGAAAACCTTACAAAGGATTTTCAAAAATCAAAAGGTGGAAGAGTGAGTGGAGCTGGGGCTGCTAATGTTCTTCTTTACAGAATATACTAAATACAAAACTAGTACCATACTTCTCACCAAGTTTCTCTCTTCTCTCCCCAAAGATATCAGAATTTAGGTATTTGGGGGTTGAAGTGGGGGAAAACAATGGAAAAAGCTCACAAAAGGTTCTTTGTAAGCAACTGTTGCAACATCCCTTTGTTTAAAGAAAGAAACTCACTTTTTATAGACATTTGGCTCATGAAAATTTTTTCAGGGGAATAGGGTAAATAATTAGAGATATCTATGAAATAGAGGTATCCAGAAAAGCAAGTTTGTGAAGAAAAAATTACATTTTTATAATGCTTTGAAGTTTACAAAGTACTTTCCCCAAAACACCTCTGTGTGAAGGCAGCACAAAAGTCAGTAGGTCAGCTAAGCTTAGGGACCAGCCTGTGCTTTCCCTGATAAAGGGAACCCTAAGATGAAGAGATTCTTGCCCCGGGTGCAGGTCAGCCCCTTCTTCTTTATGACCTTTAGTGTTAGAGCTACCCAGCGCACACTGAAGCTTGCTCTGAAACACACGTCTAGAATGTCTGAGGCAGGATAACAAGCAGGGAACAGTACTAAGAGTAGACATGTATAGAGATTCCCTAGGGTTTGCAATACATTTAATATACATTCTCTTCTTAGGGACGAGGTAGTGCTTCAAGCATCATCATGCCTACTTACAGAAGAGGAAACAAGCTCAGAGATGACTACCTCGTCCAGGACTAAATCAATCTGTGGAAGACGGCAGAAAGAAAGAGCTAGCCGCCTTGATTCTTCTTTCATTTAGGGCAGGGGGAAAAAGGAAAGTAAAGCTGGTCAGTAGCAACTTCCGAATTATAGTAAGAAATGAGAGAGCGGACTGTAAACTCAAACGGCTTGGTTCTTAAAGCCTGTACCAATCTCTTTCTGTGACTGTGACTGTGACAATACAGTTAACATAAAATCCAGTTTGGTTAAATGTGAGTAGAATTAAAATAAATATTAAGTGTGACACAGCATTAAAGGCTGAAACTAGATTTCATTTTTTTAATAGTAAAGACCGGCTTACAGCAAGTATGAATATAATATGAATGAAATATGAATAAATATGAATGGAATCCTTACATTTCTGTACAAGGACCGATTGCTGTAGAGTACTCGGAGGGCCTGCTTAATTAGAGTACAACATTTTACAGGAGAACCTGAAGGAAAAGAACTGAAAATCAAAATCATAGAACAGGCCTTAAAAAAGACAATATATTCTCCCATCCTAAAAAACAAAAGATCCACTCAAGTAATCTACCTAGCTAAATGCCTAACTCCTGCATAACTTATTTAAGGAACAAATGGTCATTTTAACTAGGGGACCATAATTGCTCCAGTCTGTCTCAACTGCAGCAAATTTAAGGGGATCACATGGTAAGGAAAGATTCAGGTGAAGCTGATAGTAGACACAAAGAACATCTCAGGAGATCAATGCCCCACCCTATTCATACTCCGAGGTATAAGGACATATAAAAAAGCAAACATCTCTGGGTCAGGGAAACCATAACCAGCTGAGAGTTGGGATCTAGGACAAGTGCTTTGAGGGTAGTAGTTTGCTAGGAAGGAAAGATGATCTAAAAAGGAAGGCTTGAAGATGCCACAAAAATATCTAATCATAGAATGTCAGAGTAGAAGGAACCTTAGGAATCACCCACAGTAGTTTAAGCCCCTCATTTTATTGGAGGAAACTGAGGTCCAGAGAGGGCAATGATTTGCTTGAGGTCACACAACTAATAAGTGGCAGAGATGAGACTATGTGACCAATTTCACAATTCTGATGAGGGCTTGGTCTTATCTCTTACACCATCTTTGATATGTATACAATACACATACACACATGTACGCACACATATAAAGAGAATATAGATTACATGCAGATGTATATAAAATACATACAGATATGTATGTACGTATATATATATATATTCAATTTAGATCGTTGACCCATGCCCCGCACAATATATCTCACACTTTGTAATGCTATTTCAGTATCAGCTGTTAAAGGAGAGAAACATCCCATTGCACCAAAACCCAAGTTGAATACCACACCAGAAGCACGTGTAAAACATGTGAGAGGATGTCAGTGCTCACCTATGTTCAAAATCCACTTGTCAGAGTCTTGGAAGTCCTTCCCTGAGGGAACGCTTCCTGTCCAGAACATCTTCAGGTAGCTCTCAAACTGCAAGGGTGCGAGCCGGCAGGCTGTGCAGCACGCCAGGTTGTTGATGGGAAGTAGTAACGAGTATGCAGCACTGGTGAAATCACCACTTTTGCACAAGTAGAAAGGAATCTTGTCTCTAAGATCCCTTAACCTGTATAAAGGTTGCTTCCTTTAAAATTAAACTTCTCAAAGGCATAAATGAGATAAGTGGAAATCTGTTTAGTATTTAAAATATGCATAGAATCTATACAAATCTATCACCAGGCAAGACCCCTTCATTTTAAAGGATTTGGGCAACTTATAATTTGATCTTGAATGTAACTACATAGGAAATGTGATCACACGTCTATCTGAAGGGACACATAGCTTCTTTCTTACCCAATGCCTTCATTACACTTTACTGCTCTCAAATAGCGAACTAGTTCTTTGTACCTAAATGGGGGGAGAAAAAAAAATCTTCTTATATCCTGTTTTCAGTTGTTTAAATGGACAGAGAAAGAATTTCAATTGTGTCTGGTAATTTCTTGCCATAGTTTACATCTCTATAGGCATTTCAATATATTACTGGAAAAAAGCTCATCCAAACTAAGAATGGTTGTACTTAATGTCAATCTGACAACTTATAAAAAGAAACTTAAATGGTCAATGGTTAAAATTATCATCCTATCAAAGAAGCATAAAACCTATTAAAGTATCAGGGAATTTTAGAACTGGAAGGGGACTTTAAGATCATAGTCAAACTTTTTCATTTTACAGATGAAGAAACTGAGGACCAGAAGTGAAGGGTACATAAAAAAAAAAAGCCAAACATATGCACTTTATTTTTAATTTTCTTTTTTATTATGAGTTTAATCATCAAACACAAATATTCAAATATACAAAAGAGAATCAAAAAAAGGATCACATAAAAAACCTTGAAATTCTGTTAGGTTTATTAAATTTAACAAAATACTAACAAAATTGCCCTGTTTGTTACCTGGAGGGTATACTTCCAAAGTTAAAAATTCATTCTTTGCCCCCTCCATTGAATCACCTTGCTTCTTCAACCACCTATTACTGCTTATAAAATACAACCACTTTCATGAAAGCATGTCAGATTAAAATTCTCTCTTCCTCTCAGCAGCCCCAAAGGAAAACTTCAGGAAATTCTATGAATCCAAACGACATTATACTTAAAAAACGAAACAAAACAAAAAAACCCTCTCTATTTGTTCTTAAGGACAACAGCTATACACTAACATTTAAAAACCTTTAGAAAATTGTACTTTTGATGAACTGTTTTGAAAAGGTCTCTTATGGCACAGGCAATACACTGAAAATATCTGCCCACTTCAAAGTTCTCTGCTCCATAGGCTACCATTCTTCACACCCAAAGCTTTTTATTCTTTCCAAAAGATGAAAAATCAATCCAATTAATTAACTATATAGCATAATACGAAAAAGTCTCTGCCTTCAAGAAGATCACAGATTTGGGATGATGGGAAGGGAAGGTATAAAGACTCAGGTGAAAGTTAGTGAAATATTAAACTGGTTCAACCAAAGCAGAAATGCTGATTAGCACCTTGGCAAAAATATATTCCCTCTCCAAAACTGTGTTAAATTATAAATTTGGGGTCTTTAATATTTGCAATGAAAGAACAGACCATTACTTTCTTTTTTCTACATATTATCATCTTTGGATTGTGGGATCATATGGGGGAAAAGTCAGTCACATCTCCACAACCATCTTAATTCTGGTTCTTCATTCTGCAAAAGCCTAGATTCTTGGAGCCCAATTTTCTCTTCTCAATTCAGCCTGTATAAAATTTGCTACATTAATTTTTCCTAAATCCTGCTGCCAAAAATAGGAATTAATATTGGTGGGAGAGCCAGATCAACTCTTTTCATTAAGAAGAAAATGTATCCTATTACTAGGCCTACACTCCAAAGAAATCAAAGAAAAAAGAAAAGTATCCATATGCACAAAAATATTTACAGCAGCTCTTTATAGTGGTAAAGTGGAAATTAACGAGGTATCCATCCAGGGTGAGGGGGAATGGCTGAATAAATTATAGTATATAAATGCACTGGAATAGTATTGTGTTGTAAGATGACAAAAAGGACTGTTTCAAAGAAACCTAGAACACTTGCAATATCCATTTTATTTGATTTTTGTTTAAGTTCAACATTTAAAAAATTCTACAAGAGAATACCCCTATAAATCTAATGAAATAATACTTCTCCAATGGCTCGTTTCAACTGGATAATTTATACTATAAAATTCCATCACATCATGATAAAGCTTAGTTGTGCACTTGTGACAAATTGTGCTAAACTACGATAGACTGGGAGGGTTCGGGGCTGGGATGGGTAGGGAGTGGCAAAAGGCAATATGTTAGGGACTCCCAATGTAGAAAATAAGAAATGAGGAAAGGGACTACTATATTTGAAGAACTCTTCATCTTGAGTGATGATAACAAAAACTAGCGATCATTGACAGAAGGTGGAAACTGGCTCATTAGGCTTTTACTAAGTTTAGCTGCAGCCCCTTTAAGCAGATTCCCTCTTATTTCAACACAAATTCCCGCTAGTCCAGGAGTTCTTAACTTAGGGTCCAAGGATAGATTTCAGGGGTCCATTAACTTGGATAGGAAAAAATTACACCTTTATTTTTATTAACCTTCAACTCAAATTCTTTCAATTATTTAAATAACTTCCTTCAATTATATGAAAACTTTATTCTGAGAAGGGGCCCATAGACTTCACTAGACTGACAAAGGGATCCATGAGACAATAAAGAAAATTAAGAATGCCTAGTCTATTGCAACCAGTTCTTTCAGAATATGAATTTCTATGTCATACAAATTCCCACTACTTTTCTCGGAATATTGTTTTCTTCTTCCCTCAAATTGGACTAATCCTTATTTAGACCTAGCTAATCTTAAATTTAGTTGGCTTTGCTATTAGTATTGCTACGGTACAACTGTCAGATCCCTTGACAATTTGTACACAGAGTACTATGCAGCAAAACAACATTTTATAATAAGGAATTCACACACACGTGTGTGCACACACCCTTTTCCTGCTTTTAGAACAATAGAATAATCAATGAAATCAAAAAAATCAATGTCTCTCTCAGTGAGATTATAATCTTACCAGAACACATCTGACTTAACTATAGAGTGCTGGGGGCAGGGAAAGAGGAGAGAGAACAAGAGAAACAATAGAATAGATTTCATTTGGTTAAAAAGCATCTTACTCTTTTATTTCTTAGATTTGCAACCACTGTAAACAAAATACTATTTCTCAGTGATGCAGAACTCAAAGTCAATCACCACAGGTATAAATAGAGTGGTTAGGCACTTACTGTCCCATGCTCTCCATTTTTTCAGTTCTAGCCTTTATCACAGTAAGAACTTCCCAGAGGAATTCCTTCTTCCCATTCTTTTTTTGTTCACCAGTAATGTTTTGGCCTTTTAAAACCGTGGTTAGTATTCTGTGATCCCATGATGGAACATTCAGGCTGAAAGTAGTTTTAAAATGGTACAAACTGAATGATTCTTTCCTTATTTCAGAACCTAAATATTTTCACAGAGAACCAACATGTGCAGAGATAGATAATGATGCTGCTTATAGGAGCACGCTCACTTGATAAGTATCACACAGAGTTAAAGATTTTTAAATTTTTTCCTCTTAATTTCTATGGTCTTGAAAAAATCTCCAAAGTATGATTTTACTGTTTTTTTAGAATCCTGTTTTTAGTGGAGTCATTTTCTGTACTTTCCCTTTCAATTTCAACTTTTCTGACATGTCTATAACCAAAAAGCAGGAGGAGAAATTTAACATCTTTTCTCAAATATAGACATACATGTATATATATGTGTACCCCCCCCCAGCAAATATATTTTCTAGAACTGCTATTCTAGAAAATATTCTGTTCATACAGAATGCCTGTGGAACAATGTGCTATCGATGACTAAATATTCTGGCTGCCAATAATAATTACCACTTGGTTCTTTGCAGCCTCAGTCATCTTCTTCTTGCTACCGCAGTGTGCATGTTCTCCGAGGCTCTTTTCTTTCCCTTCTCTCTCGGTGAGCTTAATCAATTGTTTTAATTATGACCTCTATGCAAATGACCCCCAAATTTGTTATCAGCCCCCTTTTCCCTCCTATATCTGCCTGCTGGAATCTCTACCTGGATGCCTCTCAAATGTAACATGTTAAAATGAACTCATCATCTTATTTCTACTTACCCTCTCTTGAGAACTTCTCTATTTCTCCTGATGGGATCATAGGCCCACATCTGGTGTTACTTCTTTCATGAAGCCTAATAGGACTCCCTCCCACAGAATATTCTTTCTCACATTCCATCATATTCTACTCTGTATTATAAGGATGTACACATTTGATTATAAGCTCCTGAGGGCAGGCTACGCCCCCTTTATAAATTTTGCATTCCCAAGGCACCTAACATGGTGCCTTGTACACAACAGATGCTTAATAAAGTATTTGCCAAATTTGCAGTAGCATTCCTACTCTAACCATACATGGAAGTTAATTTTCAAAGAAGCAAGATAAAATAAATTTTAAAAAAATCTATCTATCTCAATGTAACGTATATGGTAGGGTAAATACTTATAAAGGAAAAAAAAAACCAGATTCTTTAGCATAATTTTCAACCCTATTTCTCTTGTCCATCTCCTGCATTCATAAACATTTTATTCTTCTCCTGTTCCCCACCTAAGCTAGCTCTGCTTGATTTCCAGTTCAATGAATAGCAGCAGCCACTGTATCTGGAACCAGCAGGGGTCACAGGAATCATGTGAGTAAGGAATGGCAGATTTGAGGAGGGACCTGGAAGATCCTAACATCCTCTGGAGATCAGAGATTGAAGGGCATACAGGACACCAGAGCTATAAAGGTGGATTGTCCTTGTAAAGAATATACACTGAATGAAGTGATTAGACCTTGGATGACCTAAAATATTTCACCAGCCAAATTCAGGTTGTGGAAACAGAGGTGAAAAACACAGATGTTACTTTTAATATGTACTACATTTAACCTCTGCGTCTTAGGTAAATTTCAGTTTTATCTTCTAACTCAGACCACTTGTATCTGTGTAATTAAGCCCCATGCTAACAAAATATTATTAAATAATTGTAACCCATACGTAAATAGCACTTTTAATATTTACAAAGCACTTTACATAATCTCATAGTTTCACAACAACCTTGTAATACAGGTGCTATTATTGTCACCATTTTACAGATAACAGGCTGAGAGTGGTATAGTGACTTGTCCAGGGTCACAGAGATAGGAAGTATTCAAGGCAGAATTTGAATTCAGATCTTCCAGACACCAATCTTCACTGAGCCATTTTTTCAGCACTCCCAAATTATGAGATATAAACATTTACAACTGAAATGACACACTTACCAATTTGTGAACTTAAAACAGTAAGGAGGAAGAGGAATAGTCTGGAAAAAGCTAATGAATTTTTCATAAAGTTGTTTGGGAAAGTCACTGAGCACAAGCATCCTCTGGAGGTTTTTGGTAATCCTAGATTTAAGAAAGAAATTATTTTATGAAGCTTGGCAGAAGCAGGAAATATGGCTACTTTTCTAACTATATGTAAAATGTTAGTATTTAAGTACAAAAAGAAAGCTTTTAGGAAAAGAGGAATGAGCAAGTATTCTTAATCGAATAGGGGATTTTGCCTCCCTAGAGGCAATGACATGCAGAAATAGATATAAACCATCCCTCCACTAAGCTAAAGCACAAGGTGTTAATGAGGGAGATTACTGCCTACTGCCTAAGTGTTGCTTGAATTACTTAACAGACTAAATCAGGGATTAAGGTACAAAGCATTAAGAAGAGATGGCTTTGAGCCTATGATATGATTACATGGGTTGGCAGCAGCCCACTTAATAAACCTTGAATTGCTCATAAAACCACAAATTAAAGAGGGTTTTCTATAGCTATCCTATATCATGGCCTCTAGCTAGAAGTGAAAAGGAGCTAAGAAAAATTAGGTATTCCTTCAATGAAAACGTCATTTAACATCCATAAGTAATACGCACAAATCATAAAGAATAGAGCTATAAACTATTGCTAATGAGGTATCAATAATTACAAAAGATTTTAAAAGAATTTTTAGTTGTAGATAATAAAGAACACAGAGAAGCATAGAAAGACTTCTATGAACTATTGCTAAATGCATCTCCTTTCTTTGCAGAGGTGGGAGGCTACAGATGTGGAACACTGCAAAAATGGTTAGCCTCAGTTGGTAAATCATTTCATCTTGTTCAATGGCTCCCTGCCCCCTTCTCTTTTTCATTGTTTGTTATAAGGGCTGCCTTCTGAGAAGGGGAAGAAAGGATATATTTGGAAATGAAGTGAGTTAAACACAAAATATATCAAATTTTAAAAATTCATAATTGTTTGGGAATGCAAATGGACATAAATTTCAAGCTTTAATTTTATTTGAAACAAATTACTTTGATAACAAACCACTGTTTCTATATTCTTCTAAAAATTATGTAATATGCTATTTTCTCTAAAATAAGCTCCTAATTCTATTGGAAAGGAAGCATATCAGAGAAATGGAAAGCTATTTGGGTAAGATGAGATTAGGAAAAGTTCCTTAGTCCAGGACAATAAGTGATTTGGACTGGAAGAAATAAAGCTAAAGACTGGGGCAGCTGGATATGAAAAATACATGCACATATGGAATAAAGGGGAGCAGTTAGCTATAAGGGGAAATTAAGGAAAAAGCTAACCAGGGCCAAAACTCTGCCTCTTTTAAACTTAAAATTAACAAATGTTTCTTATAACTGGAAAATGTTCTTACAGTCTTGCTTTTAGAATGTAATTATCAAGAGTATGCTTATGTGAATAAATGAGTAATAATGCAGTTTATATCTTAGGAGCTATTAGATAAACATCCATTTGAAATTTTGAAGTAAACAGAATTTCAACTGAATGACTAAAATGAAAATTTTACTTGCAACAGATCTCTAAAAGGATTACTCTTCAAGTAATCCTTGGTAATCAGGAGCACTATCTTCAAAGCAAGCCAAAAGCAAAAATCTGTGGTCTTTTTTTTTTGGGGGGGGGCCCTAGGCAATGGGGTTAAGTGACTTGCCCAGGGTCACACAGTTAGTAAGTGTTATATGTCTGAGGCCAGATTTGAACTCAGGTCCTCCTAATCCAGGGCCAGTGCTCTATCCACTGTGCCACCTAGCTGCCCTGTGGTCTTAATTAACTCAAGCATCAGAAAGAATATTGGGGAACTTGGATAGTTTAAAACAAGGAATTGCTAGCAACAGTAAGATTGCATATCTTTCGTTCCTAGATCAGAATAAAAAAACCTACCTTGACATGAGAAAAGGTACAGCTAATTTCAAAGACTCAGATGGCCCAAGATTTTGCCAGGACCTAAACCAAATGTTAAATGTGGGTTAATCATACTGACTTAAAAGCACTCTCCATAGATTAAATTAATGTCATTATAATGAAGGGATTTTACTGATATCATAAGTCAAAGGGCCCAGCACGGCCTGAATTTTCTTAACTCTACCAGAAACTCCTTTTCACTCAATAAATCCAGGCACTCACTCCTGCTTACTCACAACAAAACTGTTGTGTGTATTTGTCTAATTTTTTGTAATCATGATTGAAGCATGGACCATAGACAGTCTATATTAAACACCATCCAAAAGCACACAGATCAAGTCTAATTTCTTTTAAACAATGCTCAGTAGTGTCACGCACAAACCTTACTATCTGGTCATGACTAGGATGAAGACACTAGCAGCTCAAATTGATACAGCACTTCACAAAATCTTTCCACAAAAACCTGTGAAGTAGGTCAATTATTGTCCTTATTTTACAAATGAGGAAACTGAGGCTCAAAGAGGTGAGATGATTTGTCTGGGGTTATGCAGTGGTGGGCCCAGAGTACTGATCCATGTCTTTGACAAGATCAATGCTCTTTTCCTCTACATCCCAATAAAATCATGTGAAGCCTATGTCTTCTCAGTGAAAATGAACTACTCTCCAATGGCTACTCATCTTGAACTCTTACAGCTCTGTATCTGGATCACAGGCTCTATGCTCTGGCCAGACTAGAGAGCCAAACCTGACTCACAGTGGCCCCAATTACACCTCACTCTGACATTCAAACCTTTACAATGAATATGGCAGATGGAGACAGTCCTGTGAGAAAGGCATCAGTGATCCTGGGTCTACTTTTTAATGTAATTAAAAAAAATTTCTTAGATCTTCAAATTCAATTCAACAAGCATTAATAATGAGTTTTATTTTAGACACTATGAGTCTGGGATGACATCCAGTTTCAGAAGTCCCAGAAGCAGCTGGAGATTCATGACCTAAGCTCAGCAGAAACTAGGGTTGGATGTGGGAATTACTGCACAGAGAAGGTAACTGAACAGATGGGGAGCTGATGAGATCAAGCTAAAACGTACAGAGTGACATGAAGGTCCAAGAGAAACCTTTGGAGGGATAACCACAGTTAGCAGGTATGACAAAAATGAAGATCCAACAAAGGACACAGAGAAAGAACACTGTCACAGAAATCTAGAGAGAGAAGCTACGAATCATGAAGACACAGAAAAGGCCAAGAGATCATTAGTAACTTTGGAGAGGGGAGTTTCAGTTGAATGATGAGGTTGGGAACCAGAAAGCAGAGAACTTAAAAGCTAGTGAGAGGAGTGGAAGCAACCAGTGTAGATGATTTTCAGAAGGAACCTAGCCAAGAAAGAGGGGAGATGATAGAATGGTAACTAGCAGGCACAGTCAGATCAAATGAGGGTTTTATCAAGGATGAGGGAGATGTGAGCGTTGTGAACAGAATGAGCCAGTAGATAGGATGACACTGAAACTAGAGAGAAAGTGGGAATAAGAGAGGGAACAATCTGTTGGAGAAGATGAGAGGGAGATGGATCAAATGTTCATGTTGAGGAGTTTGCCTTGATAAAGAGAAAAGCTACTTCTGCATGCTAGGAGAGGTCAAGAAGAATGTGGACTGAGAAAAGGTCTTCAGATTTAGCAATTAAGACATCTTTGGTGATACTGAAGTGAGCAACTTCTAAAACCACAAATGTTAGGATTGGAAGCAAGATTCTAAGGGCTGAGATTCGCCTAACAAGAATGGGAATATTTCCAACCCATCAATTATTTGAAGACTTGTTAACTCAGGGCAAACTAAGGCTAGACCAGGAGGCTAGACTTGAAGGGTCAAACATTTATTCAAGTCATGATATAACATCACTTGGTTAGATGTTTCTATCTAATTCGCCATGTTCAAGTTTAGAAAAAAATGGTGCCACAAATACTCTATTAACAATTTTTTGGTGGTTGAGATTTCTGAAAAAAATTTCTTTCTTGGTTACAATGGATAATTTGGTTCATGTATTTCGTTCCCATAAAATAACAGTTCAGTCCAACTAAACGCACGTTAAAATTATAATTCAAACATTTTTTCCTGAGAAATAGAAAGACACAAATCGGAAGACAAAAACGCTAGCTTTGTAGACTCAGAGTTATGAGGGGCATGTTCATCTAGTCCAACCTCTAACTTGACATAGGAAATCCTTCTATACAATATCCAAGCCTATACCTGAACCCTTGAAAAGAACTATTCACTAAATTATATTCCACTGTTTGAAGACTGCTTCCAGGAAATTTTTCTCACACTGGATTCAAATCTGCCTCCTTCTAACTTTCAACCCTTGGTCCTAATTCTGTACAATGGAGGTACACAGAGAAAGTAATAAACTTAACTCCTTATCCATATGGCTTCAAAAACTTGAAGACCAATAGCAAATACCTGTTCCCAACAAGTTCTCTCTTCTCCAAACAGATTAATCAATAAACACTAAGCACGTTCTATGTGCCAGGCATTGTGCTAAGCACTGGGGATACAAAAAGAGTAAATGACAGTCCCTGTCCTCAACGAGCTCACAATATAAAAGGGGAGACAACAAGCAAACAAATATACACAGATAAACTGTATACAGTTGTCTCAACTATTCCTTATACTATGGTTTTAAGATGTCTCACCATCTTAGACACCCTCTTTTTAATAGTTTTCTTTAAAATGTAGCACCTAGAGATGAGCATAAGACTATAATAATCTTTACTAAGTTTTTCCTAAGTGCAAGAAGTGGGCTGACCAGTGCAAGTGGGGGGGTGGGTGAGGGGGGAGGCTATTATTTGCCTTTAGACGTTTTGCTTTTATTGAAGTAGCCTAAAAGTGCACTAGTATTTCTGGTAGCAAAATTACACGGCTGATTTGATGGAAAAAATAGGTATGTGGAGGACAGTAAATTTGGCCTTAGGAATAGTGATTATGAAAAGGGAATGGGGTGGGACTGAGCTCCATGATTCAGGACACAGCAATACTATTACCAACTGACAGTGCTTCTTTCAAGAACTAAGCCCTTCTGAGACTGAGAAATGGCAGAAAAAACAGGGATGGGGGGGTAAGGTCTTTAAATGTTACTAACGGAGAAATGAAATAGGAGGGAGTCCAAATTTGGTACTCCAGAAATTCAACCGTTGTAAAGAAGGAACAAGGCCATATACTGAAGAACAGAATTCAAAAATAGATTATAAGGGGAGAGAATTAAAGAGGACAAGGCAAAAGGAAGCAGTGGAAAAGTGAGCAGTGTAATAACACTACCTTCTCCAACTAAATGTTGGAGGGATGATTCTGAACCACATGCTTAGCTGGACAAGGAAATGAGTTTCAGAAGAGAGACAGAAATGTAAAAAGAAAATAATTAACAACTTAAGTAAAAGTAAGTAACTTGGGCAAGTAAACAGAGCATCATGGGAAGGAACTGGTGGGAATAGACTTGTATTTCAAATAGACTACCATATCAAAATAATGCAACCAGAAGATTATTTGTATAAAACAAAGTGCTGGCTTAAAACAGGAAGGAAATAAAAATCAATACAAAATAAATAAAAGTCTAAAAATCACAACCTTAAATGTGGATGGATTAGATATCTAATAAATAAAGACACATATGGAAGTTGCAACAAAATTTACTAAATATCAAGTGATTAAAAAAAACAACAGAAGTGGCAAGTATGCTATTGGACAAAATGAAAATAAGAATTTGCAACATCAAGACATAAACAAAAACTATATTAGTCTTTAAAATACTGAAGATAATGCAATAATATAAATACTAAAAGTCCATACACTAAATGGATAACATCTAAATTCAAAAAAGGAAGTTAGCTGAACTGCAAAAAGTTATAGGCAACACAATAATTGTAGACTTTAATATCTTCTCAAAGCTGTATAAATCTAACAAAAAGAAAAAAGGAAAATTCAGAAATTACATCTGAAAAGCTTATGGCATCTTTTGAATGGAAACACTAAAGAATATACATATTCTCAGCACCACATGACGCGTTAATATTATTGAAAAAAAAAATGAAAACACAAAAGCCAACTCAAAATTGCTGGTATGCAACTGAAGCAGCAACAAAGGAAAAAATTTATCCCTTAGAATACATTAACAAAATAGAAAAATAAGCTTAATGAACCAACAATTTTAAACAATTTTTAAAATGTGTGCCACTTTCTACATGGGGTCTTTTTGCTCATCTCTTCCAACTCCTGTTACTAGTGCCTAACCTGATATCTGTTTTGTATATCTATAGTTGTGTGTGAATTACTTGGGCAATGAATAATTTTGATACGGCTTAATTTTTTTTTTTTTTGCTGAACTTAATATAATAAAATGAGCACTTCCATATACAAAATAAAACTGTTAAAGAGGACTACATGTGAAACTGCAAATCTCTATTATGTACAGTTTATTTTTCCTTTTAAGATTATAAAAAATTCAACATGTAACTTTCAAAGCTGTCTTGCTTGTCTGTGTTTCCTTCTGGCCTTCTTTCTGTTTTATTCTGCATATTAAAAACAAAACAAAACGAAACACAAAAAACTTCAATGGTTCTTTTTTTTTGGGGGGGGGTTACCTCCTCCAACCAATTATCCCTCCAATTTAAAAAAGTTTTATTGTATGACATCAATGTTTATGATCATGTGTTTCTACTGACACTATGCTGAGAATGTCTTACCTTGACCAGACGAAAACTAATTTAACTGGTTTCCCTACTTTTATTACTTTTGTCAGTAGAGTGCTAGATTTAGTGCCAAATACACATTTTACCTTGCTCTTTTGTTGTGATTTTAATTCTGTGGTCTTTGAGGAATGGATATTATTCTAAGGAAATGAATAATGCCAAACTACTGCTTACAAAACCGCCTAATTCTCAGAAAACATGCAATGACCTTCAGAGAGGAACTTGGCAATTGGAGGGGTTGTTCCTGATTATCCTCTACAGTGCAGTGGAGGTTTCTTAGAGTTGAAATAACAGTGAGAAGATAACTAAAAAACAGCTGTTAGCCACTGTTATAAAGAAAAAAAATGCTTGTTATAGGCAGGACAGTAAGACTGAAATACTGAAGATTGGAAAAATTAACCAAGAGATGGAGATAAACATGCTATACTGTCCTGGGAACTCACCTGACTTAAACCCAACTGAAAAATCTATGGGCTTTAATTAAGGCTAGACCTGGAAAGACTGACTCTTCGTCAAAGGCAGGCTTCTATAAGTGTAGTTTGATGATGAATTATAGAATGTGTCAAAATCTTGTGAACTCAATGACACATCATGTAAAACAAGTGATTGCTGCAAAAGGACATTGCAAATTTTTATCAAAGATGTAAAAATTTGTAAGGTTTACTGTATTAGTCATTATGTATAATTACTTTGTCCCAGTTAATTTTCATGCCACAGTACCATGTTGTCTTCCCCATTATAAGTTCCTTGGGAGCAGAATTGTTTCACTTTTGCCTTTTAATCTACAGTTGGATGGTACATAGCAGGCACTTAATAAATCCTTACTGATTGGCTGAAATAAACTCAAAAATAAACACAAAAGAGGAAATCTTGACAATTAGAGGAGAAAGATAAATATAAAAAAAATCCCATAGAAATGATCAATAAAAACAAAAGTTAGTTCTTTGAAGAAAAAGTTCTTATTAGTCACATTTAAAACAATCCATATACAACTTGTTTATGCTAACCCCCCCAAAAAAACACTCCTTAAAAACACAGATGTAGAAGGATCTTTTAGGGGGGAGGCGCGCCAAGGCAATCAGGATAAGTGACTTGCCCAGGGCCACACAGCTAGTAAGTGTCAAGTATCTGAGGCTGGGTTTGAACTCAGGTCCTCCTGACTCCAGGGCTCATCTATCCACTGCGCCCTAGCGCTCCCTTTAGAAGGATCATTTTCAATGAGACAATGGATATACACAAAACTCAAAGCTAGCATTATTTTAAATGGGGAAACACTAGAAGCTTTCACACTAAGGTAAGGTCTCCCCACAATTATTTTATATAGTTTTAAAAACACATATGAGATGACTACACATGTATAACATGTATCGAGTTGCTTGCCTTCTCAATGAGAGTGAGTGGGGAGGGAGGAAGGGAGAAAATTTAGAACCCAAAGTTTTAAAAACGTTTAAAAAATTGTTTTCACATGCAACTGAGAAATAAGATATACAGGAAATGAGGTATAGAAATCTATCCTGCCCTACAGGAAAATTGAAGGGGAGGAGGACAAAAGGGAGAGCGGACTGGGGGAAGGCGTATTCATTCAGAATCTTGGGGTGGGAGGAGGGACGAGATGGGGAGAAAATGTGGAACTCAAAATCTTGTAGAAGTGAATGTTGAAAACTTAAAAAAAAAGAAAGAGAGAGAGAGAGAGAGAGAGAGAGAGAGAGAGAGAGAGAGAGAGAGAGAGAGAGAGAGAGAGAGATATGAGAGCAATGAAAGAAATTTAAGGCATATTCCTCCCCATCCCCTGGAGGTCAAAGATAGAAAAGTGTCACAATCACCAAAACGGCAGCACTTTTTATGGTAGCAAAAACATGGAAACAAAGTAGATGTCTATCAATTAAGGGAATATCTAAACTAACCATGGCACATGAATGAAATGGGGTATTTCTGTGCTGTAAGAAATAATAAATGTGCTGACCACACAGAAGCACAGGAAAGCGTCATATAAATTTATACAAAGTCATGTGAGAGCATTTACACTTTGGTAGGCAGATTTTGATTTGTTGTTCTGATGACTGTCTGGACCTAAGGCAGGGATGGCTCATGGGTAGGGGAGGGACATATTAACAAATTAATCAATAAAAATAAAATGTGATATAATGGATAAAAATAAAAATTTTAAAAAGCTGAGTCAGAGAATAAACATTTAGAATGGTCAACAGAGTCAAATGTACAGAGATAATTTGGCAATGTATCTCTGAAAGAACAGTTTCAGTAGAATGGTGAAAAGCGGTTGAGGAAATAGTGGAGAGTTTAGAAGTAGAGGCATCAGATATATATAATTTTTCAAGTTTAGCAGTAAAGAGAAGAACAAGAAGATGAGACAGTACTTGGGAGAGGAAGAAGGTGTCAAAACTTTCTTAGGACTGTGGAGAGCTAAGCACGTGTGTAGACATAAATGGGAAGAAGTCAATGGAGAGGGTGAGACTGAAGATGCAAAAAGAAAATGGCTAATAGAAGAAGGTCCTGGAAAGAAGGCACGTGATCAAGGGCACAGAAACAAAGACTAATTAACAACCACAATCAGGAATAGGTGTACTGCTTCTTTTGTGAATGGGGGAAACAAAACAGAGGTTTTAGATGCCTTCAGTTCTCTTAGTGGAATAGTGACAGGAGTAGTTTGGAGGAAGAAAAGAAGAAAAGATTTGAAACAGCACAGGGAATGAGATAGAGAGTAAAAAATGGTAGAATAAAAAGACTGTCAAGTAGCACTAGAGGCCTAGCACTAGGCCTAAACTTAGTTTGAGGTTAGGTAGCATAAATTTTTTGGGGTGACAGTCACTCACACTCTATTCTAGTGAAGGGATCTCAACATGCAAAACTAGATACATACGGAGCAGGGTCCTTGTGAAGTGCTATTTCCCTGGCTGCTCCCAACAACATAACAGCGGCACTTTTAGGCTTCTCTTTTTCTGCTTTATTTATAAATGAAGATACCAAACTGAAAACATTTGAATACCTAAGGAAAAAAAGAATATGCTTAATTGATTGCATTTTTATATTTATATTTAAATTACTCCCTTTATAAGATGACATGAGGACAAATAGAATCCATGTTCGGGATCCTTGGCAATAGCCATTAAAATAGGTCAAATTAAACCTGAAGACTGAGGAGAGCCATAGATGCTGGGTCAGTTGGTTCGCTTATAATCCATATGAATAAGTATATAAACTTAACCCAATTGTCAAGGAGGAAAAACTTCATGTTATATTAAGCTTTTAAAAATTAAAGTCAATGTCTTCCACTCCCCTTGGAAACTAGTTGGTAGGCAGTACAGGAGACAGAACCGGTGAAGTCTTTAAAAATTTGTGATGAACAGTCAAGTTCTTGTCCTCTCTGCTAGCTCATGTTTTAGGAGGTATCCTACATTAAACATGTATTTCAACCAGAGTTTACGTAAGAAACAACAGGTGAAAATGTTGCCTGGACTAGAAGACAGAAGAGCCAAGTCCCAAGTACTGCCATTCATTAGCTATATAATCCTAGATCAACCTCTTAGCTTCTGAGCATCAATGCTCTCATCTAAAATGGGATTAACACCAGTCCTACTTACCTTGTAAGGTTTTGAGGATTAAAGACACAACGCTTCTAAAATGACAGAGTATTACTGCTAATAAAATCTGGACAATACAGTTAGAAGGTATTTTTGTTTCTCAACTTCTGCGAAATTGAAAGTTAGGAGACTGGGCGATAGATCAACAGTGACCAAAACAGGAAAGAGACCTTTATTAAAATTATCTCACTTTAAGAGGGCTGGCACCCAATTTTCCTGAATATCGCCTGTCTTATCTTAACTGGTAAAAACTATAATGCTTTTCCTCTGTCACCATCCATCAAAATGGGATTGAATTCTTAATTGTTGGGTACCAAATCATATGTAGAATCTCTCCTGGAGCTCAACCGCTGAAAAACAAAACCAAACCAAACCTGGTACTTATCTGCCTGGCTACTAGACTTTTACCATAAAAGCAGCTAATTACATTTTAAACAATCTTTGAAAGTAGATAGTAACAATTCTCAGAGAAAACAATTCAATAAAGCATCAACCAGATTGTACCTGCAGTGCTAGGTTAATAAAGGGCCTTGTTGGATTGCGAACAAAATCAGCAGGAAAACTGTTTTGACTTCCCATAATATTAATATACACTCTAAAAAATCTTATGTTGTCAATAAGGTAACTGCTGTTGATACTCTCTTTTCTTATTTATTTCAGGTGGGCATTAAAATACCCTAGCCAGTTGTGAAAATGTCACAGAAAAAGAAACTGTCTGGAAGTCATTATATCAGTGGTAATATGTGGATACCAATATTCATTTAATGTATTTGTAAAAGTTTCTAGAATTTTACAAACTACTGCACCAAGGAAAATTCTGAAAGGAATATATAATACACTTAGGATACAAAGTATCATTCAAGATCATAAGAGGAAAGAAAAAAAGTTTTCATAGCATGACATAATCTTTACCTTGGGTACCACTGGGTCACTACAAGATTGCTAACAAGAGACAGATTTGGTCCTCAAATTTTACTATGGTGCTATCACTAATACTTTACCCACCTGTATATAACCTCATTTTGGAGCTGGCTGCAGACACTGCATTGGCCAGGTTTCTGTTTTGAGGAACACACACAGTCCTGAAGACTCAGTACAATCTCTCCAGAAAGATAGTTGTTATATTGTACAGAAAGGTCTCGAAGAAATTTAAACAGAAGCTCTCCTAAAATAAAATAAAGGGGGGGGGGAAGGGCAGAGGGGGAAAAGTCTCTTATTCAGGAGAAGAAAAGAAAGAAAAAGTCACAGAAAATTATTTTAAGTGAGATAATAGAGGAACAAACTGTAATGACTTTAAAGCAACATAAAAATATCAATTGCTTACCCCCATGACGGAGATCTGTGTCTATCTCTGTGGGTTCCAGGTTAAAAATTACAAGAACACCAGTCAAAGTAAAATTTCGCTGATCCTTCCAAAATTTACTTTTGTTATGGGCATTGCAATGACAAGAGGAAGAAGTTGTCCAATATTGACACTGTTTTTTTAAAAAAAAAACTTTAACTTTAAAAAACAAGGACTCTCCTGTATGTTACACAGCGTCTTGACAGATGACCAACTGTTTCTTAGAAGGTGTTATAGGCAAGGTATACTTTAGTTCCAAAAGACAGTAACATGCTTTTTTTGGTATATAAAAATGACAATATCGATCCATCATTAATAGGGTAAGTGTACTGAACAGTTTTTCCAGTATAATAATGGAAGTGTACTAATCCACTTATACTCTCTGCCAGGAATAGATGAGTGTCCTAGAACTACTAATACTCTGGGGGTGGTAGCAATCCTGACACAGGGATCCAGGCCAGGGCTCCCACAATTTGCCAGCCAGTCGTTTCCAATGATATTAACTGACAGAAGATGGTTTCAAAGGAAGAACATTTCTCAAGTGTGCTGAAAGCATTGTACAGTTTGGAAAGCTTAGCTCTTCAAGAAAGTAAAACCCCCCCACAGTTTTTTCCTGTATATCTGGGACAACTTTCTTACAAGCTATATTAACTGAATATATATGTAAATATTTTACAATTTCTTTTAACACTGCTGCTGTAAAGTATGTTGATAGATTTTGCCTTTGGCTTCATTACATAAGCCAGAAGTTGAATCTCAATCCAAGGTTAATCGTGTTCCAGATTCCACGCTGTTTCGGCCTGAGGAATATTCTAAGATCATTGGAAAAGGGTCTCCATTTTCACTATATTTTCTTTCATTATGATGTACTTAATTTAAAAAAAAAATTACTGTTTTAAAGGCCAGCCCTGAAATCAAATTCCGTTCATCAAACTGAATGTCAAAACAAATTCATCAAAGCAGCAGGGGAGAAAGGACGTTATGAGATGTACTCATGAGAAGACAGGTAGAGTTTAGCTATGAAAGAGAGGCATTAACTGGCCCATAGAAGGTTCTAACTTAAAATCTCTTGGCCTCAGTAAGCAAGATGATTGATTTAACCAATTAAGATACATTTCTTTTTCTTTTTCCTTTTTTTTTGGGGGGGGTTAGGCAATGGGGTTAAGTGACTTGCCCAGGATCACACAGCTAGTAAGTGTTATGCATCTGAGACTGGATTTGAACTCAGGTCCTCCTAACTTCAGGACTGGTGCTCTATTCACTGTGCCACCTAGCTGCCCCCTAAAATACATTTCTAAAGATAAAAGATGTACAGTCAACTCTTCCACATTATGGGGCTTAAGGATACAGTGCCCTCGTGATGTGGAAAATCTGCATAAAATATTTTGGCTGTCCCTTTGTACCAGTGAGGAAGTCTGATTTTTTTTCTTTCTCTTTTATGCGGTGTTTATAGTACCTTATTGTAAAATTGGGGTTGATATTTTACAATACTATATATATGCATATATATTTTATGCATTCCTGAGTTTCTAAACTTTTTCTGTATCATCTGCAGCTTCTGAAAAACTCCCCCAAAATTCCCATTTAATTTCTCATGCTGACCCATGATATATCAAAACTGTGATGGGGAGGGGCAGCTAGGTGGCACAGTGGATAGAGCACTGGCCCTGGAGTCAGGAGGACCTGAGTTCAAATCCAGCCTCAGACACATAACACTAACTAGCTGTGTGATTCTGGGCAAGTCACTTAACCCCAATTGTCTCACAAAAAAAAAAGTTGTGATGGGTAAAGTCGCAATGTGGAAGGAATAACTACACACTTACTCAAAGTCAACTAAGATTACTCTATAAAAAAAAATCTAGATCCTCATTTAAATATGCATAAACCTTATGCTAATGAAACCACATAAAATATAGAAAAATAATATGGGGAAACATCTTTTTAAAAACAGATTTATGTAGTATTACCATAGATATAGGAACACTTTGTGTTTAGCAATAATAAAGGGAAAGTAAATCATTCTATCAGCAGTTACTTTTAAATCTTCTTCATAAGTAATTAAATGCTAATTCTGAGCTATTTTTTCCACAGAGAATTACTACAAATTTCAGAAATTTTATATACATTTGGACAAACTGTCTACTAAATTATTAAAAGTGTACAAACAATTAAATAGGTAATTGTTTAAATCATATTATAAAGAAAACTTCAACAATCCATTTTGATTTATGTAGGTAGGTAGCCTCATAGAGGACTTATATAAAAGCTTTTATGAAATCTATCAGCAAGTTTTCCCAATATAACTAGTCTAAAAGTCTAATCATATAAAACACTCTTAAGTATAAAAGTCCTAAAATCCATAAAAGTATCTATTTTTTCAGCACCTCAATTCCGATTTGACTTAATCTCACCTTACCTCTGATGCTAGTTTATCACAAACATAGCAGTAGCACTGACCACACATATCTGAATTTTGCTTAACAGGAATACATGTCTCATTCTCTGTTCGTCTGAAATCAATACAAAATCAAAGTTAGTGATAAAAGAGAATATAGATATATGTTACAGAATATATATTTAATATATAATCATATAACATGCTATTATAAAAATATATATTTAATATATAATTACAGAAATATAGAATATGCCATATTGATTTGAATATAAATTATACTCTCCCACTCATCCCAAATTTGGCACGTATAAAACCTTACCATGGTCTAAAATTATGCTTATTAAGAAAATGACAGTGGAAGCAAAGAGTACAACAATGATAGAACAACATCATCTTCACTTGAACAGAAATGTAAAAATGTTCTTTTCACAATAATTATATATGTATAGCTTTTTTCAGTCGATAATTACATATTTTTTCCTTTCCAAAGAAAAAAGTAATAAGATAGTAATAACACTTGGTTGCCCTTGAGAAATTCAAGTTACTCAGGCTCAGGTCAACTGCAACCTTGGGTCTTGAAAGAATTGGCAGATATAATGCTAAGCCACCATCAGTGATTTGTGAAAAATAAACAACAGCAAGGTTTGGCAGGACTGAAGAAGAACAACTGTCCCATTTTCAAAAGACAGCAAAGAATGAACTCAATGTGCAAACTATAGGTGAGTGAGCTTGAGTTGGATTCCTGGCAAAATTATGGAACATATTAAAGAGATGATTAGCATCCAGAAATGGAAGCAATGATCACAAAGTGCTAGAACAGATTCAAGTAAGAATAGGTCATACCGATTAATCTTACTTCTTTTTTGACAAAGTTGCTAAAATGGGAGGTCAGTAGAATGCTGTAAACAGCTTAACTCAATTTTTGCAAAACATCTGATAAAACATCTCATGTTTATGTGGGTGAGAATAATTAGGTGAATATGGAAGTAACTGGAAGGCTGGACTCAAAAAGCAGGCATTAATATTTTCCAATAGAGTGTCTTAAGGGTCTTTGCTTGACCCCTTCCTTGCCTGGCAGCATTTAACATTTTCACCAATGACTTGGATCAAAAAATAGATAATCTTCTTTTTCACATTTGTGAGGACTCAAATCTGGGAGACAGTGATTCACAAAAGATCTTGATAGGTTAGCACATTAGGTGGAATCTAATAAGATAAAATTGAATAGGGATAAACATCAAGCCTTACACCTAGGTTTAAAAAAAAACTGCACAAGTGCAAGGGATAGTTAGACAGCAGTTTGTCTGAAAAAGATTCAGGGGTTTTAGTGGGACTACAAGCTCAAAATGAGCCAAAAGTATGATATGATAGATAAAAATGGTAACATGGTCTTTCATTTCACTGAGAGGCAGAGCTTCCAGGAGTAAGGACGGATATTCTCAGAGCTTAATACAGTATCTGGGACAGAGCAGACATGTTCCTATACTCTTTTGTGGCCAGATCTCCTCTGGAATACTGTGCTCGATCTTGGACAACAAAGCTTATAAAAGACACCAACAGGTTGGAGAACAATCAGCGGCAGCCAATGTGATGGCCCTTGAGTCTATGCCACATGAAGGCTGTTTGTAGTTTAGAGAGGAGATGACTGGGAGGGAAGAAAAGAGGAGGTTATATGGTAGCCATCTTTAAACACTTTAAAGCCTGTCATGTGACAGACTGATTAGACATGTTATACTCATCTTTAGTGGGTAGAACAAGGAACAATGGGTGGAAGTTGCAAAGAGACAATTTTAGGCATGATGTCAAGAAAAACCTCCTAGTAATTAGAGCCATCCCAAAGCAGAACAGGCTGCCTTGGGAAACAGTATGCTCCCCATCATTGTGGGTCTCTCAGCAAAGGTTAGATCACTTGTCTGGCATGTTGTAAAAGGCTGCTGAGGTCTCTTCCAATTCAGAAACTGTAATTTTCTTGAGATCTCATTTAAGTGGTGTGGCTTTTAAAAAAGGCTTGAGTTTATACAGACAAATCTCATCATGACAATTTCTTTGTAACAAAAAGACTCCTAGGACAAAGCTGATGGCTCACTCATTTCAAGCTATATGTGATAAAACAAATTAATGTGGATAGATCCTTGAAGCTAAATGTAATAGGATAAATTCAATTAGGACAGGCTTCACTTTTTTTCTCTCTCTCCTTTTTTTTTTTTCTGTGAGGCAATCAGGATTAAGTGACTTGCCCATGGTCACACAGCTAGTAAACGTCATGTGTCTGAGGCCAAATTTGAATTCAGGTCCTCCTGACTCCAGGGCCAGTGCTCTATTCATTGCACTTTTTCATTCAGAAAGTCAGATAATACTTAATAGTAAACAAAAAAACCCAAACAAACCCCCAAAACAAACAAAAAACCCGACATGAAAAGACCACAAAAGAAATGGGTAGCTTCAAGTTAAACACACTTGAATTATGATTCTCCATAAGTTAAATTGTTTTGATCTATATCCCCAAAGTAAAGTTTACCCAGAAAGGAAAGGTAAACTCATATTTTACTGTTTACTATGATTTGAATGGTTCACTTGAGAATGCCAGTTGAAACAAACTCCAAACTATAAATTTTAGTAAGTTAGATGGGACATTAACATATATAAGCAAATGCAAGTCGACTTTATAGGATGTCTCAGTTAACCTGAAGTCAAGGTTTTCATAAAGTTAGTCAGAATAAAAGTATTTTAAGAAAACACTTCTCTATTGCTGCCATGGTGAAAAAAAAAACATACTCAAAGGGGTGTGTCATACAGTCATATCTTGCATGTGGCATCACCATCCCTTTTTTACAAAAAGTAACTACTAGTCCAGACTCCTCATCCACAATCTCTTCAGATTTCTTCTCTTCTACATCAGAGTTTTCTGGGGAAAAAAAAAAAGGCGGGATAGGGAGAGGAGAAAGTAAGTGTAACTTATTTTTTTTTAATTTACTCTCAGAATCTGTAATATTTACCATCACTTTAATAATTTATTCCTGCCCATATGTTAAGTAGTTGCTTTTGTTATAGCTTTATGGTTTACAGAAGTGGATTTCTCAGGGGGTGGTTAACAAGAGATTTAGATCAGTATTTCGTAATTAATTCAATATAAAGTGATCTCTCTATAGCTTTTTTTTCCTATTTCTCCATCACGACTGAAACCCCAAGTCAACAAGTCCATTATGCTAGCTAGATAGCTATGTAACTGAGTAAGCTGCTTCACAACACTTGTTTCTTTACCTGCAAAATGAGGTTTGAGTAGATAATCTCTAATGACCAACAGTAAAATTCTTTGATTTATATTCTTCTAATCTAGGTTAATTCTCAATTTGAGGTCATTTTTGGAATCCTTTTTCATCTAATCTAAAAAAGCCAAGTCCTGTTGATAAAAAGGTCTGCTTCTTATCCCAATTCTACAGCTATCAGTCTTAAATAACTCACACCTGGATTGCTGCAATAATTTATATTCTTGTGGGTCTTTCCAGTTTATACTGCGCCAATACTTCCTACACAGGAAGGACTCCTAGAATACTCTTCCTGAAGGATTAGTTTTTATTATGTCACTTCGACAATTCTACAACATTTCCCAATTATAGTCCCAGATCCTCAGCCCAAGATTAAAGATCTTCCATCAACCTAATTCCATTTTCCTTTCCTACAGAGATTCTTAGTGTTAGTTATGCTAGTTTTCTAGTGCTCTTTCCTTCCTCAAAACAAACTAGCTTATTCTTGCTTCTGCTTAGAATATGCTATAATAATAGCTAGCACTGATGTAGGACTTTAAGGTTTGCAAAATGCTTTACATATGTTAGCTCCTCTATTATCTTCATCTGCATTCTTCCTCGCTTTTTCTGTACCAATTAATAACCTTCCACTTCTTCAGTAGTTCAGTCCCTACAGGAAATGATTGACCATGACTGTTTACTATTCCATCTGATGTTCCCTTGTTTATTAAGGAGCCTAGTGTAAAAGCTAGAAAAGACTTTAGAGATGAACTAGTGGATGTGTCAAATCTGAACCTGTTGGTCAGTTGCTAATAAAGGGAACTTTCTGTAATTTTATGTGTGTTATGCCCAACTAGTCTGTATATGGCCTGAGTTTAGGAAACAGTATCATAAAGGTTTAGTGCTGGTATTACAACTATTTATTTTTTCTTCCTACTCCACACCAAATCATATTTAGTAGAGGAGATGCAATTGCTATTGTTCACTGAGGACTTCACAAATTACTTAAATCACAGGAAGACTGACAAGTAATTTCATATTTTATGAAGTCTGCTAATGTATCTAATTGATTGGTCTCCTTATGTTGTTAATAGCCTACATTGAGGATCATAATTCAAAACTGGAAAAGATCCCAGAGGTCATCTGTCCAACCTCCTCAATTTACAGATGAAGAAACTGAGGCCCAGATTTATTAAAATGATTTGGTCCACAAGGTCACACAGGGTGTAAACAGCAGTGCTGGGATTTGAACCCACATCTTCTGGTTCCTTAGCCAATGTTCTTTCCCCTTCACCACGCTATTTCTCACTGTTAAAAAAAACCTTACTTAATACAGTACATACCAGAAGATTCAATCACTACAATAGAATTCCTTAAGGTAGTTTCAATGTCTGTTTCGTCATCACTAATCAAAATCACACTCTCTTCATTGGCTTCTTTTTCAGGTCCCATGGTATCTAAATCCAGAAAAAGCACATCTAATTAAGGTTTGGATCAAAAGGAAGAATAGAGACTCAAAGAACAATTTTCCTAATACAGAAGGCATTAGGGTCTCAAATGGGGCTATCCACAGTCACCTGTACACATCACAGGTTTTCCTAACTCTCTTTGCCTTTTGCTCATACCATGCACAACACCCAGAAAGCATTTCTTCCAATTCTGTATGTTTAATTTCTTCAAGGCCTAGCTCAAATGCCACCTTTTCCAGAAAACCTGCTCTGACCCCTTCCCACCCAAATTCCTTCCTGGGATCTCCCACAACACTGTGTTCATATCTTCCCTCTGTATTCGTTCTTCCATCTGTCTCACTCTGTTTTTCTTATCTATCTGTGTACCCCCCCACTCTCTCTCTCTCTTCCTTCTACCCCTCCCCCCTCTAGATTGTAAGCTTGAAAGGGTCAGAAACTATGTTTTACAGATCTTTGAATCTTCCACTATCACCTAGCACAGGATACCACTTGGAAGGGGTTAAACATGTGTTTTAAATTGATAGGTATAAAACTAGTCATTAATGCCAAGGGAAGGGCAAATGGAGAACCATAAACTAAGTTTTGAAAACAAAGGCTCTTTTAAATATTACTTGTTCAGAACTACTACTTTTCTGTGAAAAATCTTCATAAGCAGTTTTTATTATTTTAGGGAAAAGAGAAACAAATGATTCCAAGTCTTCATTTTCACCTTTTGAGACTCGATCCTCAAAAACAGCTTCAATCTCCATTCAAAAAATCACTTCCTATTGGCCAAGAGCCCTAGGGCAAGCAAGAAGTAAACAGATAACAACCTACACCAACCTCCAAAAGAAAACAGGCTATATGAGAGTGTTTTTCTCTTAAGAATTACCTAAAGAAGCTATATGTAATGTTTAGTCAATAAAACAGACATTTATCAAGTGCTTACTACATACAACACAGTGTGTTAGGCATTCAAAGATAAGACTTGGTTTCTGTCCTTAAGTACCTTGTGCTTGAGGTAAATGGGAGAGGATATAACTTTATAATACAAATTAAAATATATATAGGAAGAATATATAATATTATGAGCTCTGATTAGGGAGGCAAGTTCCCACCAGCAGTGAGTAGGATACTAACAGATAACAGTGAAGGATTAGAAGAGAGAGAAAAGTAGGTATTTCAGTATAGTGAAGAATATGAACACAAGCACAGACGTGGGAAACTGTGGAACACATCCAGAGAGGAACCAGTTCAGTTTGGTCAAGTGTAAAGGAAGAAATACAGTCTATATTCCTTAATGGTTTCCAATTAGTGAAGCACTTGGATTAGCCCTTGAGAGAAGGGAAGGATATCAATCAATCATTCAAGATTTTTTTTTTTGGGGGGGGAAGGTGAGGGTGGTTGGGAGAAGAATGAGTTCAATCCAAAGACAGAGGATAATATCAGCAAAGACAGAGGATAATATCAGCAAAGCCAAAGAAACAGATGAGGATGAACAAAAAAATGGAGGAGGCGGAGAAAGGAAGAATAAAGAATAACTCAGTTTGGCTGGAACTTGAAAAAAATAGCGCAAGCAGAGACTGGAAAGGTAGATCAAGTTCTAAAACCAGATTTTACTTGATTTGGCAGGCAACGGGAAGCTACTGAAAATTTCTACATAGAAGACTGACTTATGAGAATGACTCATGTTGGAGTCTATTTAAAAAACAACCAGAGCCCAAGTTAGGGTAGTTGCAGTGTTCATAGATGTAAAGGATAACACGAAGACAGAACTGACAGGATCGGGCATGTGCTGGATGTGAAGGTAGAAGAAGGGAAGGGAGGAAGATGATTTGGAGCTTTCAAGCCCAGGGTGACTAGGAAGCAAAGTGTCATCACAAACAGGGAAGCTGGGGACACGATTAACTTGACAGGAGCAGGAAGACATGGAATTCAGTTCTGGACATATTGAGTTTGAGTGGCAGTAAAACACCCAGCTAGAGATCTAGGTCTTTAAACAAGTGCTAGAAATACAAGACTGACTCTCTGAAGAGGTGCTAGGTGGTGACACAGATTTGGGAGTCATTCATATACAAGTGCAATGGCCTCTTTTCATTTTTGTCATACAGTTGTTGATCTTTTTTCACGGTTTCTTCTGCTGGCTGATTCATGACCCTCAAGTCAACAGGCATTTATTAAGTGCTCGCTACCTGCCAGCCACTGTGCTAAGTAAGCACTGGGAAATCAGAGAAAGGCATGACAACAAAGAAAAAACCCAATTCCCACTCTCAAGAAGGTCGCTGTCTAACTGGGGTGACAACATGCAAATCACTAGGTACAAAGAGACAGACTGAGACAATACATCAGAGATAATCACAGAGCGAAGGCAGCAGCATTAAAAGGGCGTTGGGAAAGGTTTCTTGAAAGTGAGGTTTTAATTGGTAACTGAAGGAAGCAAGGAGCCAAAGAGGGGGGAGTGAATCCCAAGCACTGGGAACAGCCAGCGAAAAGACCAGGAGATGGACTGTCTGTAGGGCATAGTGGGGAAGCCAGTGTTACTTGATCATAGAGTATGTGTGGAAGGGAGTAAGATATAAGAATACTGGACTGGCAAGGTAGGAAGGGACCAGGTAATGAAGGATTTTAAATGTCACACAGAGGATTTAAAAGCCCTTCCTTTAACCATAGGTACTCAGCCCAAAGCTCTGTGCCCTAAGCCCTCTTCCTTTCTTCTTCGTAACCTGATCAGTTCCTGTGGGGTCAATTATCATCCCCATGATATAGGGATCTCACACCCTCTTCTGTGGAACAGACCTATCCATTCAATTGACTGCTGGACATTTACATTTGCATGTTCCTTCTGGCACCTCAATCTCAGTGTATCCAAAAACACCCCCTCACTATCTTGCCTTCTCCAAACTTCTGCTATTTCTGTTGAGGTTACCAACATCCTTCCAGTCACCTAGGTTTGCAAACTTGTAATTATTCTTAATTCTTACCTCTTCTTCATTTCCTATGTGACCAAGTGCTAACTCTTGTTGATTATATCCTTATACCTCTCCCCTTTCCCCATTCTCAGATGGCCACCACCCTCATTCACAAAGGAAGAAACTGAGACTCAGAGAAAAGAAGTGACTTACCTAAGATGGAATGCTAAGCAGCAGATTTGAACCAGGGTCCTTTGATGCTAGGTTAATCAACAAGCATTTATTAAGCACCTACTACTGCTAGGTGCTAGAGATACAAAGAAAAACAAAACAGCCCCTCTCCTTAAGGATATTACATTCTGTTGGAGAAGACAACATACACAGATAGAGACACATACAAAGGAAACCCTGGAGGGACCGATTATCAGCCGAAGGGACAGTTAAAACCCTCTTGCATGCAGAAAAGGAGACATTCAAGAGACAGCGCAGAGACAGAAATAACAAGATCTGGCAACTGACTGGATATGTGGAGTGACTGAAGGTGAAGAATCAAAGATGACACTGAAGTTGGAAAACTCGGTGACTAGAAGCATGGTGGTGCTTTTGGTGTAATGATACAGAAACCTAGGAAAGAACTGAAAGGAGGAAGAAATGGGAGGTCATGGTGAATATGAAGAGCACAGTTAGCCATTACATGACAAAGGGAAAGATGGAATGATGAAAAATTATGATCAGATAAAAGAATTCTGGACTTTGTGGACACTGAAGTAGAACACTTCTGGTTGTGGCAAGTTCAAGGACAGGGCCATCTCTGTATGTAACTAACCTGGAGTAGAAGAAAAAGTCATGAGAATTGAGGATATTGAGGACCTGGGAAGTTAGGGTAATTGAGGAAACATAAATATGTATGTTGAAGGGGGCAGCTAGGTGGCGCAGTGGATAGAGCACTGGCCCTGAAGCCAGGAGGACCTGAGTTCAAATCCAACCTCACACCAAACACTTAATACTTACTAGCCGTGTGACCCTGGGCAAGTCACTTAACCCCAACTGCCCTAAAAAAAATTAAAAAAAAATGTATGTTGAAGTCCCCTAGTACGAGGGTGGGAGTCAAAGAGGAAAGACTGAGCCAAGCACTAAACTCACTGAAGAAAGATGGAGAATGACCTACAGGTCAGTTAATAGCCACAAGGATTTGGATTAGGTGATGAATCTGGACAGCACGAACCTCAAAGGAGGAATCTACTGAGTGATGGTAGTAGAAGTAAAGTCCAGGATGGAAAAGGCAGTGGGGAGGAAGGAACAGTCTGACTCCTCAATTGTGACAAATGAATTGAGGAGTATGAGGGGAAGAAAGTACCCAGTACTGAAAAGGGTGCAAGGGAGGTAGTGTCAAGCCAGGTCTCACTGAGGGCCAGAGGATGGAAGGGAGTGTGAAAGAAAGAAGTTTAAGATGAAAGGAACTTTGTTGATTACACAGCAGGTGTTCCACAGAGGGCAAAAAGGCAGGAGCAGGGTATCTAGAGGGGGACTCGAAGTTGAGGGAATAGGGCACAGATATTGTCTTGATACCTAAACCAAGGAGAGTCAAAACAGAAAAATAAAACTACTGACCAATATCCCTAATGAAAATTAATGTAAACATATTAAATAAATTGACAGAGGCTACAATACTACAAAAATGATACATTATTACATTTATAGAGTTGGTTCGGTATTAGAAGAATGACAAACTTAATTGTGTTAACAACAAAAAATAACAAACACAATGATAATATTAATAGCTGCATAAAAAGATTTTGAGAAAATACAACATTCTTTTTGGTTAAAAACACGGTCTTTTGGGTAAGATCAAATTTACATCTAAAACCAAGAGCTGGCATTATATATTATGAGGATAAGCTGAAATCTTTTCTAGTAAGAATTTAGAATTTAAGCTCAGAGTGTACTAAGGATATTTATTCTCAATACTTCTCTCTGACACAGAAGAACTAGAAATGCTAGGTATAGCACCCAGATAAGAAAAAGAAGGTGAAGGAATAAGCATAGGTAAAGAAGAAACAAAACTATCACTTTTTTGCAGATCATGTGATAGCATTCTTATCCCACAGTCAACTAAAACTTATTTGAAACAGTCAATAACTTCAGCAAACTTGCAGAATATAAAATAAACATATATAAATCATCAGCACTTCTGTATAACACCAATTAACCTTGACAGAAAGAGCTATAAAGAGAAATTACATTTAAAATTGCAGAATGTATAATATTTGGAAGTCTGCCCCCCAAGAAGTATTTAAATACAGCTACAAAACACTTGTTTTCAGAAACAGACCTAAATAATATGAGAAATATTAACTACTCATGGTGTTAAGCCAATGTAATGAAAATGCAAATACTAACTAAATTAATTTACTTATTCAGTGCCATATCAAACTCCTCTCAGCTTCAATCTCTTCTATTCATTGGCTTCTCTATTACTTACAGAAATGCCACCCCCCAAAATTGCCCATGTTTCCTTTTATCCTTAAATCCCTTCAGTTGACTCTGCTATTGCCTCAGACTATAGTGTATCATATCTTTTGTTAAATTTTTAAAAATTATCATACATTTAACAAACTGGTAACTGCATACACAAAGAACAAGAGCTGTATATAAACCTATGAATTTGTATTTTTAAGTATATTAAACAAAGCAATAACAAAATTGCCCTGTTTGTGTCCACTTCTGAATCTTTTTTTCCTTCTGTTTATTTTTTAACATTTCATTGATGCTCCTTTTTTATTTATTTTTTAAGCTCACTAACCCACCTCTATCCTAGCAAATCAACACATGGGATATATCATCCTATATCTTTTTCTCCATTTCACAACCAAATTTCTTGAAACGATCACTTATACATGTTATTTTCATTTTCTCACCTGCCATTCACTTCTCAAACCTTTGCAATTTAGCCTTTGATCCAGCTGTTGCTGTTTAATTGCTTTTCAGACTCTTGGTGACCCCATTTGGAGGTTTTCTTTGCTATTTTTTCCTCCAGCTCATTTCATAGATGAGGAAACTGATGCAAACAGGGTTAAGTGATTTTCCTAGGGTTAAACACCTTGTAAATGGGGCCAGATTTGAACTTCCAAAGATCAGTCTTGCTAACTGCAGGCCTAGAGCTCTATCCACAGCCCCATCACCTTTTAATCCTATCACTTGATAAATTTCAAGGTTACTAACAATCTCTTAACTTTCAAATCCAATGGCTCCCTCCCCTTCCCCTGACTTTATTCAATTTAACCCCCTGCAGCTTCTGATACTGTCAACCATCCACTCTTTTCCTGTAAATCCTACTTTCTTTGGAAATGCTCTATTGGTTCTCATTCTACCTTTCTGACAACTCTTCTCAATTTACTTTGCTCTCTTAAGTGGATACATACCATAGTTGCCCTGGACCATATCTTTTCCTTTGGTTACCATACACCAGTTCTAATGGCTCTGTCACTTCTATGCCGATGACTCCCAAATCTATCTATCGATCTATAGGTCTAATCAGACCAACATGGTCAACTGCAGGACCAATATCTCCACTTAGACATCTCAGAGGTATCTAAAATACATGTCCAAAACGGCACTCCTATTTCTGTTCAAACCCATTCCTCTACCTCAGAATTTCCTAATTTTGTTGGAGGCATCACCATTCTTCCAGGCACCTAGATCCACAACCTTGGAATTATTCTTTAATCATCCTTCACTCTCACTTTCTCATATTCAATCAGTTGTCATCTATTGTTAATTCTACCTTTACAACATCTCTTGAACCCATCCCAGCTTCTACTCTAATTCAGGCCCTCATTATTTCTTACCTGGACTACTGCAATACCTAACTGGTCTCCTCACTCCCTTTCCAATCCATCTTCTTTGTAGGTGCCAAACTATTATCCCTAAAATGCAGATCTGACTATGTCAATTCCCTACTCAAACCTTCATGGATTCCTAATGTTTTCTGGAAAAAATCCTCAGCCTAGCATTTAAAGCCTTCTACAATTTCACTCCCAACCACATTTCATCTTATTTCACATTACTGCCTTTTGTCGTCTTCGTATTTCCCCCCAGGTAGGGGGACGAGAACTTGGTGGTTACAGGGGATAGTATACCTGGCCTGTAGTCAGAAAAATCTGACTTCAAATCCAGCCTCAGACATTCGCTAGCTGTCTAATCCTTACCTTCTAAGCGACACAGACATAACTAGTTCCCCAGGTTGTTGAGATAATTCTCCCCCCCTCCCCGCCCCACCCCCCCTTTTTTTTTTTGGTGAGGCAATTGGGGTTAAGTGACTTGCCCAGAGTCACACATCTAGTGAGGGTTAAGTGTCTGAGGCCACATTTGCACTCAGGCCCTCCAGACTCCAGGGCAGCTGCTCCGTCCACTGGTCCACCTAGCGGCCCCGAAATAATCCCATTCTTGTAAAATGGGAGTAATATCCCCTAGCTCCCAGGGCTGCAGAGATAAAATAACAATGGCAGCTAGCTAGGCACTGTGCTAAGCACTTCACCAGGAAAATCTCATTGGATCCTCACAACAACCCTGGGAGGCGAGGGCTATTATTATTCACACTTTACAGATGCAGAAACTGAGACAAACACAGCTAGAAAGTATCTCAAGCTGCATCTGAATTCAGGAGCACTCCAGGCTTGGGGCTCCATCCACAGCACCACCTAGCTGCCTATTTTTATTTGTAAAGTACTTAGCTCGGTGCCTGGCATATGGTAGATGCTTAACAAAGAGAAGCTTGCTTGCTTCCCTCCCTAGGATCTGACTGACAAATATATGACTTTTCCCTTCCCATTAAACTCAGCCATCACGCTCCTCTCCAACATTTCCATCTCCTACGTATCTGCTTTCGCACAGGTAGCTTCTATGGATAGAGTCCTCAAACCTCCTTCAAAGCACAGTTCAGGCGCTTGCAAGCCTTTCCCCCTCCCAAGTTATTAGGGTTCTTTCCCCCCTTGAAATCACTCCTCTTACATCCCCATTTCTGCCAGTCCACACCATAGCGTTTAAACACGCGGGGAGGGGAGGAGGGGCAGCAAGGGCGGGCCGTCTCTACAGCAGAGGTCTGGAGTGTGCCTGAAGCGGGAGCTAGGGAGGTCAAGGTGGACTCGGAGTCTTGCTTTAAGCTGTTGTTCCCAAGCCCGCAGCGGGGAGCGCACGGCGGGGTCCAGGTCTCCACGCTTCCTCCCGCGCCCCAGCTCCCGCCCCGGGCGGCCAAGTCACAGCGCCTTGCTCACCCCTTCTCCAGCTCCTCCGGCCGCCTCCGCCTTTTCTTTCCTCTCTGCCTCGGGCGCCCCTTTCCCGCGCCGCCCGCACCTCCGACGTATCTAAGCACTACGCTCCACAACTTTCAATTCCCGCGGCACCCGCGGCCTTCCGCTATCAACCGTCACTTCCGGAAGGGGGCGTAGCCCGACCGAGCCTGGGGCGCGCGCACGGGACTCCACCTACTCGCTAGGTGGGACCTGAAGAGAGAGCTACTCACTCGCTCTGCGTCGACGCTGCCTGCGGCCATTTTGGATCCTGGCAAAGGCAGGCCCAGAAGAAGCCATAGTCTTCCGCGTCCGGGCGGCCATTTTGCATTTGGATAGGGTGGCTTTCCTCCTTCCCTTCGAGTTCCTGGAGCCTCCACATCGCCTCTGACGGATGGAAAATTGCCTGTTGATTTAAGCTGGCGATCCCAGCCAACAGAGGGGAGGAGACGGCCACTGGACTGAGAGACTGGCCTGGGTGGGCACAGGAGGCCACCGTGACCCACTCCCACTGTTTACGGAGGAGGCAGTGAAGCACGTGGTGGGGTGGGGAGGGACAATGCCGGTGTCACGTGACCAATGGGCGGGAGAGCCGGGGCTGGGGGGAGGTGCCCATTGCTCAGTTAACCGAAGAGCCTTAGGCTGCTGTTCCTCATGTCCTGGCAGGGAGGTGTCAGGCTTGGTCGAGCAGCCTTGGATCTTGAGACCCTGGGCCAGCTAATGAACCATTCTGTTTAGTAAACCTCAAGTGTCTACCACGTGCTCAAGGAGCCTGTTAGCTGTTGCTTGTCGTTTAGTCATTTTCTTCAGGGGATCTTTTTTGGGGTTTTCTTGGCAAAGATACTGGAGTGGTTTGCCATGTCACAGGGTTAAGTGACTTGCCCAGGGTCACACAACTAGTAGGGAGGCCAAAGTAGCCGGCTCTCATAGACCTTAGAGTGTAATGAAGCCAACAACTGTTTATTAAGTGCCTCCTATGGGCCAGGCCTTGTGTGCTGAGCGCTGGGGATACCAAAAAAAAAAAAAATAGAGAGTTCCTGAGTTCAAGGAGCTCATGTCTTATAAGGGAGACTGTATGTAAACCGCTGTGTACAAAGAAGATACTGGCAGAATATATTGGGACAGTAGCAAAAGGAAGACACTTGGACAAAGAGAGATTTGAGGAAGTGGGATTTTAATTGAGTTTGGAAGAAAGCATGAGGAAGAGATAAGGAGGGAGAAAATTATAAGCATGGGAGATAGCCGGGGTGGAAAGGCGCAGGGGGAGGGGTGTTTAAAAATCAAGGCCTGTGACTTCATAGGCCTAGGAAACTCCATGACTTCATCCCTATTGGGAATTTGGGGTTTAGATACAGGAAGATCACCAACTCCATAGGCTAAGAAATTTTGTGGGGCGCTGGGAGGTTAAGTAACTTGCATCACATAGTTATTGTATGTCCAAGGCATAACCTAAATCTACCTCTGCCTGCCCCAAAGGTCACCTAATGGAATATGTTTAGAATTACCAAAATTAAAATAAGATATAAACAATGTGACTTCTTAGCATCAAGTTGCTGTCCAGTTGGCAAACACGATATATCTTGAATAACTGCAAAATGAAATAATGCATGTTGTAAGCTCATAGGTAGACCATGTATTCACAGTAAAACGTGCAGAAAAGACAACATTCTTTTGTGTTTGTTTCTAGGTGCTTAATAAATGCTTGTTTGATTACAGGAGAAGTATTTGATCCAGGACAGCAAAATACAACCATAGAAGGTCTGTTCCAATGAACTTTATCCCATGCGTATGTTAAGATCTTACAAGATTCCTTGATACATAACACCAGAATGATAGTTTTGTTCAACAGTCTTCTGACGTCAGTTATGGAATGTGGTTTACAAAGGTGTTTACTGCTATTATGGTGAGCACCAAGTACAAATGAAAGAGGATTTTCTATACGTGATGAGGTCCTCCAGCTGCTGTAGTTTGAGGTTATTGTATTGCTTGCTTTGAGCCCTGAAATATTCTAGGGATTCTTCAAAATTCCATGATCATACAAAAGAGCGTATGTGTAGTCCACACAGAAAAAAAAATGGATGAAGACTTTATCCAGACAGAGAGGCAGCATGGTACTTTGGAAAGGGTACTGGATTTGTAACCAGAGGACCTGGGTTCAAATTTTTGTTGTGCTACTTACTACTTGTGTGACCTTGGCCTAGTGACTTCATGACTCTAGACATCAGGTTCCTCATTTATAAAATGAGAGGGCTGCACTAGATGACCTTTAGTGTCCTTTATAGCTCTGAATTTATGATATGCAGTTGATGGAAAATCCCTTGAGAGAGGTAGCCTGTCAGTGTCTTGCATAGGCACTGTAGATGGACAATGATCTGGGCCCAGAATTTAATTGGAGGAGAGTAGACTGGGCTGCATTACAAATAAGTCTTCTTTCAAAGATCCCAAGATGTTCCTTGCCTTCAATGTCCACCCATTTTATAACCTGTGGTTTCTCTGGGAAGCCACATGAATTCAACTGAAATTGTTCTCTCTAAAGTTACAAGTGATTTCTTAATTGCCAAATCTAATAGCCTTTTTTTTTTAAAGTCGCATTGAGTCAACAAGCATTTATTAAGTGCTAAAATGTCCATTTACTCCACACCAGACATTCTAATAAGCCCTGGAGATACAAAGGAAAATAAAAGCAGTCCCAGTCTTCAAGGAGCTCACAATCTAACCTGGGAGACAGCATACAAACAACTATTTACAAACAAGATATGGTCAGGATAAATTGCAGGGAATTTCAGAGGGAAGGTACTGACATGAAGGGGAATTAAGGCTTATTGCAGAAGGTAGAAATTTAGCTGAGACATGAAGGAAGGAAGTCAGGGAATCCAGGAGGCATAGATGAGAGAGGATTCCAGGCGTGGAGGACAGCCAATGAAAATACAAAGAGTAAGGAAATTGAGTATCTTGTTTCAGAAACAGCAAAGAGGCCAGTATCACTTGAATCATAGAGTAGGGGAAGGGGAGTGAACTGAAGTGTAAGAAAACTGGAGAGGTTGGAAGGGGCCAGGTTATGAAAGGCCTTGAATGCCAAACAGAGGATTTTGTATTTGATCCTGGAGGTAGTAGGGAGCCACTGGAGTTGGGCAGACCTGTGCATTAGGAAAAGCATTTTGATCGTTGATTGGAGAATGGACTAGAGTTGGGAAAGACTTTGAGGCAGGGAGACCCACCAGAAGACCATTACAATAATACATATGTAAGGCTATGGGGGTCTGAACCATGACAGTAGCAGTGTCAGAGAAGAGAAGGGGAGTATGTGAGAGATCAGGTGAAGGGAGATTCGACAGGACTGGACAACAGTTTGGATACGGGGGGGATGAGAGTGAGGAGTCAAAAATGTTGCCCAGGTGATGAGCCTGGGTGACTGGAAGTATGGCGAAGTCCTTGATGGTTAAGAGGGGAGGACATGGGAAGGGGGGAAACATGATGAGTTCTATTTTATACATATTTAGTTTAACTCTACAGGTTATGCAGTTCAGTATCTAGTAAGTAGTTGGAAATGGGAGACTGGAGGTCAGGAGAAAGGTGAGGTCTGTGTAGTTTATCATCTGCATAGAAATGACAATTGAATCCAAGAGGAACCCATGGAAAGAGGTTCAGAAAGGGACAGACAAGCAGGACAGTTTTTTTTTTAAACTGCTGTGTTAAATTTATTATACACAAGAAACACGAATTAGACATTCACAGCTTCACAGATGGAACTCTCTTTTGATTTTTGTGTGTTGAAATGTTTTTGTCAATATCAAAATTAAAAAAATAAAGATAATTCTATCATGGAAATGTGAGGTTTTAGATGCCTAATTTAAACACTAGGTAAAGATAAAACCATATTTTTTCTCCTTTTTATCCCTCTATTTAGCATTAGATGGCGCTGAAGATCCATGAATTATACTTGTCTATACTCCCAAGTCTTAGGGGAAAATGAATATTGTTAAGTACAATCAGTCCTCAACTTTCGTGGGGGTAATGTTCCTAGAAAACAGTGCAGAAAGTAAAAAACGCAAATGTTTATATGTTGAACCCATGGGAAATAGGGAACTAGTTTCCCAAGACCACCAAAAACTGTATTCTTTTGTTGGAGTGTTGAAAATGTACTTTTCTCCATACAATTCTTTATAACAAAACATTAATTCTGATAATATGCACTTTTCCAACACAATAACTGTGAAATAACTCATGAAATGCAGGGGGGAGGAAAGGCAGCTCTGGATGGGATGGAGAGGGGCAGTGGTAGTGATGTCAGAAGAACCCCACATGAAAAAGGGAAAGGGACAACACCTGTTATCTCTAATCACCCTATTGGTTCCACGGTTGAACTATTCCCCTATGAAAAGCACATGTCCAGGGGTGAGTCCCCAGCTCCTGTCTGAGCTCAGAACACCCAACAAGGAGGGATAGGCCTGGCCCTGGCAGCTCTCCTTGGGCCAGATGTGGCAGGGAAGATTGTGCAGCTCCGCTGCTCTGCCCTGAGCCATAAGCAAATTGTGCCTCTTAATTTTTTTTCTCTAGTACTCATAGCCTGCTGGTAACAAGCAAGGTTGCTAATGTGAAAGTGAAAATGAGGTTGCTAATAAAATCACATGAATGCTTGAATTCTTGAAAGGTAAACAGGAATGCTAAGGACTGACTGTACTTCATTTGGATGATACACAGCCAAATAGGTAGTTTGTACAGTTCCAAATATGTATCTAACTTTCCTTAGTTTTCTTAGAATTCTCTTACCTAATGTAGATTGCTTAAGACTTTTGTATAAAGAAGAGTTTAAGATACTAATTTTCAAAATCTTGGGACAAAAGGACCTAATTTATGATAGTATAGATAACTCAAAGTAAATGATATATGAAGTTGATTTTTTTGGAAATGCAATAATCTAAAAAGCATAGCAGAAAATGGTTTCTGGGATTTTAAAAAATTAGCTGTAAAAACAGTTTATTTGTATGTTTTTTAGGATATGTAGATTTTGTTAAAATGTGTCACTATATGTATTTATATAAAATTGTGTTTCCATTATTTTACAAAATATACATGTTTCAGAAAATACACTTCTTAATGCCCTCCTTGAGGAAAAGTACTCATTTTGTCTTTGTGTCCCCAGTGCCTACTACAGTGACTTGCATATAGTAGGAGCTTAATAAATACTTATCAAGTAAATGAATGAATGAACTTGTCTTAGTTCTACTTCCTCAGAATCCCTGGGCTAGCAGGGCTCAGTAACTAAGTATTTCACACCAATTCATTTATCTGATAGAATGTAAACTCTTTGAAAGCAGGGGGTGTGTTTCATTTTTGTCTTTGAATCTTCAGTTTCTAGCACAGTGCTTGGCACAGTAGGCACTTAATAAATGCTTGATAGTTGATTTGTTATTAATGAAATAAGAATTTGTTAATTGGCAGTTGAATGCTCATACTCTTTTAGGGGCTATGGGGAATACAAAAGAAAAAAAGAAGTGGAAGACAAGCTGTCTGCTCTCAAGTAGTTTATAACCTACTTGTCAAGACAAGA